TACACGTTAGCAGTGTCCTAGTATTCAAATTATGCGATTAGGAAACCCGTTTGTTGAGAGCTGATTTGATGACATATAAACAGTGGCGTACCTGGGATACTCCGTCAGGGGGGGGGGGGGGGCAAGCGACCGAAACAAACAAAAAAGGCGATGCTAATTTTCACTTCTGGCGAGCGAGCGAGCAAAACAAAATCTTTAAGTAACGTTTGGTATATAAACTGGTATTGTTGCAAGTTGGGGGTGGGAACATTTACTTGTTAGCGACGTTAATTTATTTTTTTTGCAAACGAGTGTAGCGAGCAAGAAAAAAATCACTGCTTTTTTAAGAATTGCCACTTAAACTTGGTTCAATTGTCCCATGCAGGGCGCGGGAACAATATTGTGTTTAGGGTGATTTTATACCCATTTTAGCTAGCGAGCGAAAATACATCTTTCTCTCGATGAATTGCTATATAAAATTTGTTTCATTGTTGCAGCCAGGTAGGGGGCGGGCACAATCGTGTTTAAGGCAATGTCAATCCCATTTTGGCGGGCAGGCAACCCCCTACATTTCTCTTTTTAATGATATTGTAGCAGGTTAGTGGTGGGCACATAATTCCACGAGCTAGCGAGCGTAGCGAGCGTAGCGAGCGAAAAAAAAAATCACTTCTCTTTTATAGGGAAAATATGGTACATAAAACTTGGGTTCATTGTTCCATGTCAGGGACGTGATTATTAAAAGCGGTGTTATTTCTATTTTGGCGAGCGAGCGTATCGAGCGCGCAAAAAAAATCACTTCTCTTTTATAGGGAAAATATGGTATATAAAGTTGGGTTCATTGTTCCATGTCAGGGACGTGATTATTAAAAGCGGTGTTATTTCTATTTTGGCGAGCGAGCGTAGCGAGCGAGCAAAAAAAATCACTTCTCTTTTATAGGGAAAATATGGTATATAAACTTGGGTACATTGTTCCATGTCAGGGACGTGATTATTAAAAGCGGTGTTATTTCTATTTTGGCGAGCGAGCGTAGCGAGCGAGCAAAATTTTTGTAATGATAATTGGTTCATAAATTTCAGATTTTTTTGTTGCAGGGCAGGGCTTACACAATCATGTCTAAGGTAATGTTAATTCCGTTTTGGCGAGCACGAGCACACCAAAACTTCTTTGAATAACGTTTGGTACATAATTATTAACTGGTTGTTGCAGGTTGGGGCAGGAACGTTAGCGGTGTCAATTCCATTTTGGCGAGCGAGCATATCGAGCAAGCAAAAAAAAATAAATTCTCTTTTAATAAAAATTAATAAATAAACTTGTTTTTATTGGTGCATGTCAGGATGGACGCAATCGCGTTTAACGCGATTCAATTCCTTTTTGAGGGGGGCGAAAAAACTCTCCCATTTTTAATGATATTGTTGCAGGTCAAGGGTGCTGGGCACAATTGTTTCCAAAGCAATGTCTATTCATTTTATTCGCGAGCGAGTGTAGCGAGCGAGAAAAATGAATTAGTCTCTTTTAGTAACATTTGGTACATATATTGTGTGTTATTGTTGCCATGGTTGCAGGTTGGGGCCCGTCGGGGCAGGCACAATTGTATTCTAGGCAATACTAATCCTTTTCTTTTTTCAGGGGGACGAGCAAGTGAAAACATTTAATACAAAATAGGCTAGCAAGCAGTTCGCGCCAGCGAAGAGTTTCGAATTTGTTATATCACTTATATTTTCCCATTTTCATTTGTTTTAATTTTTCAGGGCCGTATGCGGAATATTTTTCTGGTGGGGGAGGGGGAAAGATGCGTTAAAAGTTTTCGAAGAATCTCAAAAGCAAAAGGAGTGAAGGGAGTTCGAGGGACCGAACTGGTCATGAGGGTACTTTTGCATTTTCAAAAGTAGAATTGAAGGATTTGGTAATTAAAGGCGTACACTACATTTTCAGGAAAAAAACTGTACGTTTTCAAAATATCTGGGGTCAACTGCCCCCCCCCCCCCCCCCCCTTGGTGCGTACGGCCATGGTCTTTTTTTTTTTTTTTTAATTTCCCCATTTTTATTCCTTTCCTTTTCTTTTCCTTTTTTCTTCCTTTTCTCTTCTTCTTCCTTTTTTCTTTCCTTTTTTTTCCTTTTTTCTCTTTCTTTCCTTTTTTCTTTCCTTTTTTTCCTTTTTTCTCTTTCTTTCCTTTTTTCTTCCCTTTTCCTTTTTTTTTCTTTCCTTTCCTTTCTTTTCTTTTCTTTCCCCTTTTTCTTTTTGTCCCCTGGAGCCCGTCAGGGGGGGGGGCACTCTGCCCCCCCCCCCCCCCATAGGTACGCCAGTGCATATAAAACCCCTTGTCACACCCTCCTGGTCGACTAAACAGTAAATATATAAGTTTGTATAACGGATCAATCTGTTTGTTTCCGGGGTGTGTCTCAACTCCTTCGATTTTACTTCATTGACATTCAGATAACAGTGGACGAGAAGGGTAGACTTTACACCTTATGTAGGGAGCGTATTTGGTAATTTGTCTGGTTTTTTTGCTGACTGTGCATGATTGCGTCTCGAGGACTAGGCTATTTTGTATTAAACTTAATACACGCGTACGTGTCAATGGGATGTCGGTGAACTTGTACTTATGACGGTTTCGAGACACGCTGCCCAGTTACGCAATCAAATGGAGCTAGTTGTAGTAGGCCTACCGGTATATACCGTAGACCGAAAACTTCAGTCTCTCTATTGATCGTCGGTTGTTCCACTGAGACTACGTCTGGCTCCACTAGACCTCCGATTAGATCTATATGTCAACAAAGGTAAGACCAGTAGGCCTATTGGAAACGCCCCAATTTCAAAAAATGAAATGGAAGCTCTCATTACCAATCATGTGAAAGAATATGTTTTGACTAATACATGATGATAAAAAATTTGCCGGGAAACCGCCTACTAATTCATATATTTGGTAAATTTGTTTCTCTCATGGTCTGTGACTGAGAGATATAGGGTAGTCCCATAGACTATACATCTTTCTGTGTATAGACTCTAGTGCTTGTAACTTTACAAAGAATGGGCCAAATTTCTTATCACTTTGATGATTCCAGAACCTTGCAGATGCTAGATGATCAACCTTTTCTGATCGATTCCACAACGTTTCTTTCACAATGCAATCGCATGACCATAACTGGTCTTTACCTTTAGAAATGACCCAAATCAGATGGTAATTTCTGTCTAGTTGTAGTATAGACGCCGGTCTAGTATAGTGTAGCGAGGTTGACTGGTAATATAAATCACCTGAAATAGTAGATCTAGCTAAAGGCCTACTGTGGGAGTGGTGTAGGGCGGAGGGGATGTGATATCTCGGACTTGTCTAGATCTATGCCGTCACTCTGCTGATTATGGGCCCGGATTATGGCTTAGACCTCTACTCTTACTAGGTAAGTTCGTTGTAGGTCTAGGCGTAGATCTAGATCTAGGTCCAGGCGCTAAATGTAGATCTAGAGTCTAGACCCTATTAAATCAGGTGGAAAAATCCTCTTTTTTTTCTCCACAGGGGCTCCTTTGCTATTTTGAATGAGCTGAACAATTAATTATAATTAGTCTAGGTCTAGATGTAGAGACCTAGCTAGACAGTGCAGTGGTATGAAGGGGTGACCAAAGTTCGCGGACATTTTAGAACATACTACAAAATGTGATATTCGATCTATGATTTCTCACATTCTACACAACTTTATTTATTTCAATTATTACCAAATGGACGGCAAAGTTTTTTACTACAGATTGGTTCAACTAGAAAAATTTACCGTCGAAGGATTTCGGAGATATCGCGATCTAAAAATTCGATGTCCGATCATGCGTGCGCGCTGCACCTAAAAAAGTCATAAAAACAATGAGACCTAACTTCACGCACGGTGGTTTACAGTTGATTTATCAAAAAATGTGATCCATCAAAAATAAGGTAATATCATAATTTGCAAGGCAAGATATCGTACAATCAGTTAGTACCACTCTTTACTAACAATTTTGAGGATTTCGGATCTCAAAATGAAGATTTCCAGACCCTTATCGGCAAGTTGATAATTTTTCGGAACGGACGCAAATAACTGCAAAATTTGCCGATCTTTTGTCAATATTTTCACAATTTCGCACCCAATTCTAAAGAAAATTTCGTTTTTGGGTAATTTTATGACCCTCTTTCCATTGGTGATATCAGATTTTCGAAATCTTACCGATTTTTGAGAAAGCGAACTTTGGTAAAGCGCGAACTTTGGTCACACCGCCATATGCCTATAGACCCTCTACTGTCTATTTTAAACTTGAGCTGCAGCTGTAGATCTACGTGTACGGTCTAGACTATAATTAATAATTAATCTCAATATCATGCAAATGTCACTCATTGTTGATCTTTGAACTTGGCGTCTCTGTATTTCTGTCTAGGCTAGCGCTTCTTTGAGAGTGCATACCTCTTTAGATCTACCTCAAAACCAGACAGTTCTCATTTAGCAACACTCTGCGCTGTTACACAATCGCTTCTTTTATCAATCAGGGATCGGCTTTCACAATTTGCTCTGTTCTTCACGATTCAATTCTTTTTCTTTTCAAATTTGTGTACCTCTGAAATAGATTTTCGAAATCTTACCGATTTTTGAGAAAGCGAACTTTGGTAAAGCGCGAACTTTGGTCACACCGCCATATGCCTATAGACCCTCTACTGTCTATTTTAAACTTGAGCTGCAGCTGTTGATCTACGTGTACGGTCTAGACTATAATTAATAATTAATCTCAATATCATGCAAATGTCACTCATTGTTGATCTTTGAACTTGGCGTCTCTGTATTTCTGTCTAGGCTACCGCTTCTTTGAGAGTGCATACCTCTTTAGATCTACCTCAAAACCAGACAGTTCTCATTTAGCAACACTCTGCGCTGTTACACAATCGCTTCTTTTATCAATCAGGGATCGGCTTTCACAATTTGCTCTGTTCTTCACGATTCAATTCTTTTTCTTTTCAAATTTGTGTACCTCTGAAATAGATTTTCGAAATCTTACCGATTTTTGAGAAAGCGAACTTTGGTAAAGCGCGAACTTTGGTCACACCGCCATATGCCTATAGACCCTCTACTGTCTATTTTAAACTTGAGCTGCAGCTGTTGATCTACGTGTACGGTCTAGACTATAATTAATAATTAATCTCAATATCATGCAAATGTCACTCATTGTTGATCTTTGAACTTGGCGTCTCTGTATTTCTGTCTAGGCTAGCGCTTCTTTGAGAGTGCATACCTCTTTAGATCTACCTCAAAACCAGACAGTTCTCATTTAGCAACACTCTGCGCTGTTACACAATCGCTTCTTTTATCAATCAGGGATCGGCTTTCACAATTTGCTCTGTTCTTCACGATTCAATTCTTTTTCTTTTCAAATTTGTGTACCTCTGAAATACTTTCCCTTCCAGGAATATAAATCTTGACCAGTAGACTTGACCCACCACTTTCTGTGAGACTTAAATACCATCGATGTTCTAGACTCTACATGGAATTTTTTGCCTGGTAAATTCCACTGTTGATTTCAATCCTAAGCCAAGAAATAATCGAGGACAATGTGGCGGAGCGTGCATCGTTATTCGTCCCGTCTGCAACAGCATCTGACACTGCAGACCATCAGATGCACAGTAGCAAGGCACTGCAGTCAGAGCGCCCAGAGTGGCGTCCCTTACGAGACGAACCTCTCCACGGCGAGCACGACAGATGCTATCACGGCCCCGCCGTCAGCTGACGTAGTGATTATTGGAGGAGGGTCCATCGGTTGTAGTACCCTCTATCATCTTGCTAAGCTTGGTATCACCAATACTGTACTGATTGAGAAGGATCAGCTTACGGCTGGGACAACGTGGCATACTGCAGGTAAGGCCATAAGCGTAGCCAGGAGGGCGCAAGGCCAAGGAGGCCACCCCCCCCCCCCCCCATTCAACTGCTTTAAAAATAAGATCATCTCCATTCTCCAGAATAAATGTGCCATGGAAAGAATAACAAATTTGCCATTTTGAAGTTGATATTTCACAAACTTTTTTGGGGTATTTATTAGAAAAAATGCATTTACATGGTAGGTCTACTTGAACATTTTGTTTTACAATACACAGGAATAAAAATTATTAAGACCCTAAAGCGATGTAGCCTACAGTTTTGACAAGCCCTCCAAAATAAATTTCTGATTTTTTTAATTTTTTTTTACTAGCAATACTAAGCTGCTGTTGGGTTTTTTCTGCAAGCGAAATTTTAAACAAATGACAGGTAAAAAATAATTGAGCCCTCTGGTCTTCCTGGTACTGTAAGTGAATTCTAAAAATGGTAACCTGCACTACAACTACAAGTGTAAAACCTATGAGCTCTGTGTGTGTAGTCTTGGTTTTCAACATTTGGACATTATTTTTTTAGGCTGTTTTGAAAAATGAAGAAAAAATTGAGAAATTCAAAAAATAGATTTTTGATGACGTCACACTTCACCACTCTATACACGCTGTCTCCAAGCTAGGAGGTACTGAGATTGATGTGCCGGGAGCCATTGGGGTAGAAGTGTCCTATCAAAGAAGAGTGTATAGCTGCATCTACATGTAACATTACAATTCACCGGAAATCAAAGATGGAATACGAAACAATTTTGTAAACAACATGAGACTATATTTAAAGATAATCTTGAGTTCTGGTATAATGATAGAAAATAAATTCTCACAGAATCCAACAAAACTCATACTGAATGTTGAAGATTACAAATAGATGACATACCGGTACACTGTTTGCCAAACAATATTGGTAGAAATGTATAGGGGCTGAGTAATGAGCATAGAAAGATAAGAAAATCATATACACATACATGTACATGTATGTAAGTAGGCCAGACACCATGTGCTGTCACTATTTGCAAATGAGAGTTGTGGATTTATTGAAGATGATTTCCAGCAAGTTTTTGTGAGTTTGTTTTTATTTTACTGGTTCAAACAATCAATGCATCTCGTATCCAACTCTAAGATTTAGTTTGTACGGTGTTTCTTTCTATTGTTCTCAATATTTCTTTCCTGTATATCATTCATTTCCTATGTATTTCTTGGTACCACCAATCCACTACTACTCACCCCACACATAGTTTTTCATGTAATATCTATATATGTTTTTGTATGTGTTATTGTTTAATTTTAAAAAAACTATTGTATTTTGATATTGTAATTTTAAGCAGGGGATGATCGCCAATAAACCTCTGTGGTTTTTGATCACCCCCTCTGCAGGTTCATCTTTTGTTGTAATGCTTTTATATTTGATTGTAATTTATACTGTCTTTTATGAATCTGTGGAAATAAATGAAATTGAAAAAAAAAATCTACTGCGGGATAAGCAATCCAGAATGAATTATAGCCATGTTCTCTCGACATACGATTCCTATACCAGCTAGAGCTCAAGATTAGCGTTAACATGTTCCTTTCAATTTCCTTTTGGCTACTGTACATGAGCTTTAACCCTGCCCCTACCCCTATGCATACAACGTACTATGGCTTTAGACCAGTTGCCCTGATTAAGTCACTCAAAGCATACAGGGAATAAGTTCCTTCCAGATGTACTATACCTGGATGGAGAGTTGCAAATGCAGATCAATGTCTTAATGACATATTAAAGTGTTCATGTTGTGGCAGTACTCGACTGCAAATCATGTGATCCACAGACCAATGAAGTATCCACTGGACCACAACACCTCTACAATTTTATTCTATTGTGTACGATTGGCAGGTCTGGTATGGGGGCTCCGCCCTTCGGATACAGATATTGAGCTTCTCAGTTACATGAGACACCTTGTCGGAGATGTTCTTGAGCAAGAAACCGGTGTGGATCCTGGCTGGATTAATAATGGAGGGCTCTTTACTGCTTCCAATAAAGAACGGCTTGATGAGTATAAGAGGATGGGCACAGTAAGTATACTTGTGATGCTAGGGGGGGGGGGGGGGGGAGTGTTTCGCAAAGATTCTAAGTCAAACTTAACTCTAAGTTGGACTTAAAAGTTATGGAGAGCCATTTGTAGCCTTAAAATAAAATATATTCAAAAGCGAAAATTCAAGTATTTTAAACTTTTTGTAAATTCCACAAACAACATATACAATCTCCTTGATGATAGAAAATATGAATAACTTAAATCAACATTTTATGCCTTTTAAAATAACTTTTACAAAATATTTTCATAGATGCTAATAGCTTTTCATAAATGTTAAGTCCAACTTAGAGATAAGTTCAACTTAGGTATGTCTTGCTTTAAACCTTTCACCATGGGGGTCACCTTTTTCACGAACACCCTCCCCCCCCCCCCCCCCCCCCCCCTTACAAAAAATACACTATCTCTTTGGCTTGATTCTAACTGATCTTAATGGAAGGGGTGGTCATTTTAAACTGTAATACACATCCCCCCTACATAATCTGTTAAAATTATGGCTTTAATACTATAATATCTTCATGGAGAGGATCCATTATTCACACAAACACCCCCACCCCACCCAATCGTTATTATCAGCAAAGGCGATTTGAAGGGCCTATTCTATGTAAAAATGTGTCCTGATGCTAGAAAAAAATTGTTAAATTGACCCCCATCAACAACAATATGGTCATTTCTGTCACTTTTAGGCCAAAAAACAAAACAAAATTTCTGTTGAGTCTATGGATTTTTGTGCGTCAGAAAAATCAGTTTTATTGAAATTTTTACACAGTTCGGATCACTTTGGTAATTTTAATCGGTGGCTAGCGTTTTACTACCCTGCACAGCCTGCACTGGTTGAAAGATGTCGAGCCTGCAAACTCATCATCATCATCACTTTTCAGTCAATAATAACCATGGAAGAGTTTTGGAGTAAAGCCCCACCTTCTCCAGAGGATACTTAAAAAGGCTTTTGCCTGAACTTTACTGTTTGTCATTTAACTTGTAAATTGCATTTTCAAGTTCCTAAGCCAATTTTGATTAGAAAATCCTCAGAATCCTCTCTGCTGGATGACCCCCGTGAACCTAGTGTGAAGGATATATTTACATGTACCTACAGACTATTGATCACTCCCATTTTAATTTCAGGATTTTTTTTTGTCATTGTCTATTAAATTCCACTATCGGTTTCAATTTCAATTTGCAGTGTCAATTGTTATTTCCAATCTCTGATTTTCAATTTGTAATATTAAGGTTGGAAAAGCATTTGGAGTGGAGTCCCACATCCTCTCTCCAGAGGAAACCAAGAAGCTATATCCTTTGATGAACTGTTCTGACATCTACGGCACCCTCTATAGTCCTGGAGACGGTACAATAGACCCTGCAGGATTCTGTACTGCCCTCACCAGGTCTGCTACCAAGGCTGGAGCAAAGGTACAGTCCTTTTTTAAACTGTTATATCTCATTCCTTTTGCTTCAATACAGGTTCTTGAATGCAATGGGCTGATAATAATAATATTAATGAACATCGCTTATGTAGCACATATTACTAACACAAAAGTCCCTATGCACTTAAAAAAAAAAGAGAGATACGGCAGAAGAAGAATTGTTAATTTCTGCCTGGTACATGGGTTCAATGAAATGATTACTTTTAGTCCAATTACCATTTCAGATTACAAAAACAAGGTTGATTTGCATGAATTAGTTTCACACAATAACGAAATGAATAGTTTTAATATTATTAAATCTTTTTTCCACTCTGGTCGACTTTGATATGGAACATACTGTAGATTTCTACTGTCCATCTTTTCACTTGTACAGTTTGTATAAACATACCGCAGTCTTAGACAGTTGGCAAAGAATGTCATATGGGGTCATGTGCCCAAACAAAATTAATGTAGAACAACTGTCCAAAGTGCCAAGGTGTTTTGATTTTAAATCATTCAACTATGGACATCCAATTATCCTGTTTATGTGAGAAATGGAACCTTTTTTGGTATTCATTTTGTTTTCTTCATTCAAGTTCTGACAAAATGCGGGAAGCCCTGTTTAGGTGAGAAGTGGATTCATCTTTGTCTGATATTCTGTTTGTTTATGTCCTTACGATATCTGATCAAATGCTGAAAGCCCTGTTTAGGTGAGAAGTGGATTTATCCTTGTCTGCATCTGTTTGTTTATTTCCTTACGATATCTGATCAAATGCTGAATCTCCTATTCATATGAAATATGGAACCTTTTTTAAGTATTTTTTCTTGGTTTTGCCCATTCAGGTCCTGACAGACTGTCAAGTTACTGGTATACAAACAGGAGAAGATGATTTTGGTACACACAGAGTCCAGGGAGTAGAGACATCAGGAGGGACAATCAAGACTCCTATAGTTGTAAACTGCACAGGTAGGCTTTGAACCAAGCATCTGGGAGTGTCGTGGTCGAGTGGTTTAAGGTGCTTGACTGTAGATGCGAAGGTCGAGGGTTGGAATCCCGACACGGCACTAATATCCTTTGGCAAGATATTTACCTGCACTTGCTACTCTCCACCCAGGTGTTAAATGGGTACCCGGTAGGATGCGAACGTTCATGTTGTTGGACGAGCAAGTGTGCGCTTGTAAAATGAGGACTGGCTGGAATGCTCCACAGGGAGTGGAAAATGTGCACACGGGTAAGCCTGAATCCGATGACCGGGGTAATGATATATCTGTAAAGCGCTTAGGCACATCGTTGGATCAGTGTATTGAGCGCTATATAAAAAAACGGATTATTATTATTATTATCTGCCATTTTGAGGTTGATATCTAGAAAATTTACCAAACTTGCCACCATTTGAGCACTGCTGTGATTGTAGCACTAGCTGCTATTAAAAAGAAACGATCCCCTAAGATATTTTGATGTGTACATTTAAGGTTTCATGCCAGCGTATTATTCAAAATCGCTTCAAGTATTACATCTTAATTCGGAAATACCTTTCCCCCTGTTATTTGAGAGTCTAGTATCTTGGTTTATCTTGGTTTTATATCATGTTCATTAAAATACATGTCTTTTCATTCTCTATAAATATTACAGAATTATTGCTGCTAAATTGTCATTAAAAAAAAAAATATTCTGGACAGATATTGTAGTTGTATAACCATTGAAATCCCCCATTATCATGCATTTACCTTCCCTCTTTTTTACTGGTTTTAATGTTTATAGTGTTGTGAAGGTGATTTTTATTTGTAGTTTAGTCATTCTGTTGGGAATAGAAGCTCTTGATGCACTCTATTATCTGTGTTTGCCATGCTGGTGATTGGGGGCACAACCGACTCGACTGGTTCTGTCGAGGCATCATTGTCTGCTTATTTTAGTTTTATTCATTTCTATTGGGCGGATTATTCCTTCGTCAGCCTTTTCACAGTTTGGGCAAATGTACTTTGCTACTGATACTCAAAACGGTTTGTATATATATATATATATATTATAATAATAATAATAATAATAATAATAATAATAGCTAGTTCTTATATAGCGCTTTTCACGACCGAAGGCCCTCTCAAAGCTCTTTACAGGTATATATATATATTATTACCCCGGTCATCGGATTCAGGCTTACCCGCACACAATTTATGCACGTTCTCCACTCCCTGGGGAGCATTCCAGCCAGGCGTCATTTTTACAAGCGCACACTTGCTAATCTAAGCACATTAGCTTTCGCATCCTACTGGACAATCGGACGCTCCAAATTAGGAACATTGTAAGCACATGGAGTAGGGCTCTCTGGATTGAACTCTTCACCTTCCATTTTCAATTTGCCCAGGTGTGTGGGCTCCAAACATAGGAGCGCTGGCCAACGTTGCTGTGCCTCTTCTAGCGATGAAGCATGCATACGTCGTCACCGAGAGGATAGAGGGCATTCAGAACATGCCCAACGTCCGGGACCATGATGCCTCAGTGTACTTGAAGCTTCAGGGTGATGCTCTGTCCATTGGAGGTTATGAATCCAACCCAGAATTCATTGACACGGTAATTAGAGATATTTTTGTCTCCTTTCTACACGATCTGTTAATTATTTACATTAAAGTGTAACAATTACCAAAATAGGTTTTGCTCTTGATGTAAGTGGTTCCATGTTGCAGTACTGAAATTGAAATTCAAGCTTCAAATATTACTTATACAAAGTGATATTGCAGTTTAAAGGCACTCTCAGTGAATAGTAAAACGTTGTGTTGAGTAGACATACAGGTAATGATACTATACTGCCCTTCTCTGTTTAGCAATAGATATTTTGCCCATTCCCCTCTCCTTCCCCACTTCACAAGGTAGTTATTTACACTACATTTGGCAAACCAGAGCAAATAAAACATATTTTTCACCAAACGATTAAAAGATGACTGAGACCTGGAAGGTCATAGAAAGTAAATATATGTTCTGCAATTATCCTTTGAGGCCTGCCCATTGATATATATATATATATACATTGTATATTACATATTCATTGTTTTCAAAATAATTGTCTTTTAAACAGAAAAAATGTGTAAACAGTAATCATCATAGCCAAAGATAAAGAGTATTATAGTCCAAGGGGGCCGGGTGTTATCTTATGCACATCTTTATTTTATTGTATTGTATTGTCTTTTAAACAGGAAAAATGTGTAAACAGTAATCATCATAGCCAAAGATAAAGAGTATTATAGTCCAAGGGGGCCAGGTGTTATCTTATGCACATCTTTATTGTATTTTATTGTATTGTATTGTCTTTTAAACAGGAAAAATGTGTAAACAGTAATCATCATAGCCAAAGATAAAGAGTATTATAGTCCAAGGGGGCCAGGTGTTATCTTATGCACATCTTTATTGTATTTTATTGTATTGTATTGTCTTTTAAACAGGAAAAATGTGTAAACAGTAATCATCATAGCCAAAGATAAAGAGTATTATAGTCCAAGGGGGCCGGGTGTTATCTTATGCACATCTTTATTGTATTTTATTGTATTGTATTGTCTTTTAAACAGGAAAAATGTGTAAACAGTAATCATCATAGCCAAAGATAAAGAGTATTATAGTCCAAGGGGGCCAGGTGTTATCTTATGCACATCTTTATTTTATTGTATTGTATTGTATTGTCTTTTAAACAGGAAAAATGTGTAAACAGTAATCATCATAGCCAAAGATAAAGAGTATTATATTCCACATACTAAGAATCTTGCACTACGACTGGTCATAAGTAAATCACGTGATCAAAGATAGTTCGCCCATCATTGATGGGAGAAGCAAAAAGTTTGTTGCCCTTTGTAGATAGTACTACTATCTACAAAGGGCAACGCACTTTTACTAAAGATAGAGGTACTATCTACAAAGGGCAACGCACTTTCACTGAAGATTATCCAAAAGCGCACTAAAATAGGCGTAATTAAGCGCGCATTACCAATGAGCGCAATTAAAGCAAACACATGCGCGCACCGTAACCTCAAGGGGTTGGGTTAAACTTTTAACCTTTTTGGTGTGAATTTGGGCCTGGTGTCTTTCGTGTAGATGCATACACGTCCTTTTCTTGTTGTAGTTATATTGTTTTTAGATGTGGAATATAAAGCAAATAATCACCTTTTGGTTTCAGGCGATGGCAAACTATCACTTCCTCGTCGATCAGAATGTATACGCTATCTTTCCTCAGCTTCGCTTCGGAAAGATAGCTACATCCTGATCGCCTCGGAAGTGATAGTTTGTCCCATCACCTTCACCAACGGTAGTTATTTGCTTATTATAGTCCAAGGGGGCCGGGTGTTATCTTATGCACATCTTTATTTTATTGTATTGTATTGTCTTTTAAACAGGAAAAATGTGTAAACAGTAATCATCATAGCCAAAGATAAAGAGTATTATAGTCCAAGGGGGCCAGGTGTTATCTTATGCACATCTTTATTGTATCCCCCGGGAATATGCCGGAGGGTACTTTGGATTCAGCAGCGTTACGCCGCCGTGTCATATTCTTGTGTGCACTCTAACTGCCACATTCCTTGACGGATTTCTTTCAAATTTTGTATGGAGGTCTTTCTTGGTATAATAATTGTGGGTGATGCTGCCCCCAGTGTTCCGTCTTCTATAGGGTAAAAGGCCATGTTTTTATGCCTCCGCTACAAAGTAGCCGGAGGCATTTTGTTTTCTGGTTGTCCGTCCGTCCATCCGTATGTACGTCCCGTTCTCGTGTTCGCGTTATCTCAAGAACCGATTGATGGATTACCGCTTAACTTGAGTCATGTATGTATCTTACAGAGCCAGCGAAATGATTAGATTTGGGGGTCACGAGGTCAAAGGTCACAGGGCCCATTATGTATGCAAAAATAGCTTGTGATCGCGTTATTTCAAGAATTGATTGATGGAGTAGCGCCAAACTTGGGTCATGTATGTATCTTGCAGAGCCAATGAACTGATTAGATTTTGGGGTCATGAGATCAAAGGTCACAGGCTCATTATTTATGCTAAATAGCTTGTGAACGCATCGTCAATATTGACGGATGGATTACTATCAAACTCGGAACATGTATGCATCTTGTAGAGCCAATACACTGATTAGATTTTAGGGTAATGAGGTCAAAGTTTAAAGGGTCACACATGTATATGAAAAATAGCTTTTAATCACGATATTCTGAGAACCTGTTAATGGATTACAATCAAACTTGAATTGTTTAAATTGCTTCTGTTTTGGTTTGTAAAACTGCTCTATGGCGGAGGCATCATTTACGACTGCGTGCAGTCGAACATCCGTAGTTGTGGATGGTATGTGTGTGCTCTACAGGCCACATTTCTTGAGTGATTTTGTTCAAAGTTTGAACAAAGGTGTATCTTGGTATAATCTACAAGCTTATAGATTTTGGTGATGCTACCTCCAGTGTTCTGTCTTTTATAGGGTCAAAGGTCATATTTTGATAGATGTCTTGTGTGCACTCTGGTGTGCGGTCTAACTGCATTATTTCTTGACAGATTTCTTTCAAATTGTGTATGTTAGTAAAATCTATGCACCTATAGTTTTTGGTGATGCCACCACCAGTGTCCCTTTTACAAGGTCAAACAATCATATGTTGCAGGATGGCATGAGTGCACTCTGCAGAACACATTTCTTCATGAATTTCTGTCAAATTTTGTATAGAGATGTATCTTGGAAAAATCTACACATCTTTACTTTTTGGTGATGCCCTCAATATTCCACCCTTTATAGGGTCAAAGGTCATTTGTCCCTTTTTGTGCGCTCTTACTGCCTCATTTCTTGAAGGATTTCTTTAAAATTTTGTACGGTGGTGTGTCTTAGTAAAATCAACACATCTTTAGTGTTTGGTGATGCTGCCACCTGTGTTCCATCTGTTATAGGGTCAAAGGTGATACTTTGGTGGCTGTCTTCTGTGCGCTCTAACTGTCACATTTCTTGACAGATTTTTTTCAACACACATATTGTTTTGGTGATGCTGCTCCTAGTCTTGACAATAGTCCGAGCCACTAGTGGCGATCTCCACGTCATCCTTTTGTTTCAGGGAGGGGAGAGGGGATCTTTGTCCCTCCTTTGAACATTAAAAGGATGACACAAAAATCGCTGCCACTGCCAGGGGATACATTTGCATTGCACGGCAATACAGATTGCGATATTTCTAGTTGATATATAGAATTTGAATGGATATTATACTGATTATGCTGAAATAGAACAAAATCAAGTCAGACTTGTGACAAATCTGCCATGAATATAAAAAAAAAGCAATTATTGATGGCAGTATAATCTTGTTAGCCAATTTGTTGAAACTATTTGCTTTTGAGCAGATAAGACTGTTTGTACGAAATTGCAGAATCCACTGAGAAAAACACAGGAGATACGTTCATGTAATCATTATTATGCAGTGCACTGGGAGGAACCTGGCAGAGGCCAACAACCTGGCTCTTACATTTGCTAAATATTGGGAAGTAGTTGTGCGATAACTCAAAATGTTGATGATGTAATCATTGTTCATTTTTGCAGTGATTATTTTAAAATGCACAAAGTGGGACATCTCCATGTTTTAATATTCTGTAGATATTTGGGGTCCTTTATTGTGACTTTGCACCTTGTGCATACTACATGTATGATCTGGGATGTGAATCATAAACCTTTTTATTGATACCAACTTTCACATCTGTGTATCAAATATGCTCATAGGCAATCAAATGCAATGATTTCAGTAGATTTTAACAGTTGCTCTAACTTATTATTAATGTGAAACTTACTAATAGGGTGCCTGGTGTATTAAAAATGATTCCATATTACCTGATCTTATTTTCTTTTTTTCAGATGAACAACGACTTTGCCTTCTCCCTATACGATCTTGACTGGGACGTCTTTAGCACTCACATTGATGGTAACGTACAAAGAGTACCTGTCATTGGTGAGACAGGAATCAAGTCCACCGTATGCGGTCCAGGTATGTAGAAGGGTTGCTTTACAGCTCAGTATGTGGAGATGCTATGGTGTAGTGGTTCACTCACTTGACTCTCAGTCAAGGGTTGAGGGTTTGAATCCCAGCCCTGCACTAATACTTTTTTCAAGACATAAAGCCATATTTGCCACTCTCCATCCAGGTGTCAAATGGGTACCTGGTAAGGTGCATAAGTCATTTTGTGTTCATCATTGTGAGCAACTGTGAAATGGTGCCTGGCTGGAATGCTCCCCTGGGAGTGGAGAATGTGTATACATTGTGTGGGGGCAATCTAATTTAAATTTAATTTTGGTGTTTCTGTTTATCAGAGTCTTTCACACCAGATCACAAACCATTGTTGGGCGAGGCTCCAGAACTTCGAGGTTTCTACCACGGGTGTGCGTTCAATAGCTCAGGTCTCATGCTTGGAGGAGGGTCTGGCAGGGAGCTTGCTAAGTGGATTGTCAACGGTAGGCCAGATCTTGACATGTATGGCTATGACATCAGGTAAGAACAGAACATAGGGAAAAGAGTTTGCCAAATTTTCAATGAATTTGAAAAAGATAATATTATGATGGGCTTCCCTTCCTCTATGCAAGGTGTTCCCTTATCATCTTGGCTTTAGCTTAATATAGGCTAATTATTTTAAAAGCTCACATCATTCAAGGAATGTCCTCTAATCAGGCATCCATAAAGTACATTCTAATTTAAAGAGGCGCTTGTCGCAATGGCCCAGTGGTAGAGCAGTGGTCTCGTAACCAGGAAGTCCCGGGTTCAAAACCAAGCCAATGTGCTTGTGTCCTTTGGTAAGGCATTGATACCCATTACTAAGTCCCTCAGATAGGACTTAGAGTCGTCAGCTAAAACAATCATCATCAAACAAAATATAGAGATACTCTGTGGGAGCCCAGAACCCTGACCTTCTTATCTTTAGTCAAATGCTGTGGAAATTCAAAGAAAATCACAATATGTCAACTAATGTATCACTAGAAACTCATAGCTGCCAACTGTTACGGAAAAATCGTAATTGTTATGAATTTCCCATCCTTGTTACGAAATTACGAATACCCCTTCTATTGTTACGAATTTGACCCATTTCGATATCGATTTCGAAATCTCTCAAAAACCCGCCACGTTTGACAAAAATCCCGCCATAGCACATAGAAATATGTACAAAATGAAAATCCACAACCCCGTACAACCGTCAATAAACATGCCCAACTGGGCGGAAAATATGCAGCACGTACGCACCTACGCACTCGACTTCTGCCGCTCACCCACTCTAGCTACAGCTATGACCCTAACGTGCGCGCGCTCGCATTGAATAGCGCCCTCGAATGAGAGCGGAAGACCATTCGCTTAACACACAGCTAGCTGTATTTCAATACACATGCGGTATACATAATGTACACGCGAACAGCAATTCAGTACATGCATGTGCTAGAGTTGAATTTACCGTGTTGCGTTGTTGGTTACAAACAGGATATCCTTGTGAATAAGATGGAGCGCAAAAGAGGACAAGAAGAGAGCAAAATCTGCAACATACAGAGCTCTAAATGAGTAGTATGGGAGAGTACAGTAGATGTAAGCATAGGCCCCGGAAGTTTTTGGGGGGCAAAACGCATTTTTGCCCCCCCAAAATGCCCCCCTCCCTCCAAAAAAAAAAAAGCAGTAAAGGAGTAAAGATGGTTGTATTTTTCACCCAAAAGAACATAACAATAATAAAGACTTGAATAAAAATCACATATAAAATTCCATTCAAAGAAAAGGAAAGTTAACAGGAATTAAATTTCCTAAACATTGCACATGCCACCTATATTTATCAATGGAGGTTTTTATAATAGCGATACGCGCATATCGTAGGTGTATCGTGAGAGAATGGGAAAGCGTGTCTATTTTGTGTTATAGGGGTGAGAAGACATGAGCCCATGAACAGTGGCATACTGAGTGGGGGGGGGGGGGTTATTTCTTATTCTGTACCAGTGATTTACAAATGTTGCTGAAATGTCTTGATTTTCCAGTATTTGTTCTCAATTTTGTTTATTGGAAAATTAGAAATTCCCAAATTTACAGTCGGGCGAAAAATATGCTTATTTAGAAGCCTTGGTCATGTCATGGTCTGAGCCCCCTTACTTTTTGAAAAAGTATGTTACAGATAAAAAGAAAGGAATAGAGAAAAAATAAGTGACCTGCCAATTTCACAAATGAGGTATCAAAATTTGCTCATTAAATGCCTAAAACCCCCGAGCTTCCGGGGGCTCTGCCCCCTGGACCCACCAAGGGCCCTAAGGCGGTTCCCTGAATGCTCATCCGACCGTACTACCTAAAACCCCTGAGCTTCCGGGGGCTCTCCTCCCTGGACTCTCCGCCAATTAGTGACCTGCCAGTGTCACAAATAAGGTATCTAAATATGCTTATTTGGCCTAATTTAATGCCTAAAAACCCTGAGCTTCCAGGGGCTCAGGCCCTTGACCCCCTGCCGAGGCTCTGACCCTGGACCCCAAGCCAATTTACGCTCTACCTGATCGTTAATACTCCACATTGAAAAACGTTCCGCGGGGCCTGCATGTAACGTGTAAGAGTGGTGGTGATGCATATTTTTCTTTTGCCCCCCCCCTTCCAAACGTTTTTGCTCATTACATCACTGCCCCTGGAAGGTGAGCCCCCTGGAATGTTTGCCCCCCCCCCCCCCAATCCCAAACTGCTTCCGGCGCGCCTGGATGTAAGTGGTGTTCGTCAATAAGTCAAGTGTTAAACTTAGGTTGAATTTTATGGGGAATAGTGCCTAAAATAGGCTCAGATTGCACCAGAGAGCATCTAGGACCCCAGAGCTTCCAGGGCCCTAAAGCAGGCCCTGGACCCCAGCAAAAGGGACTTTGTGCTCGTGATGTGCGCTTCACGCACATGATATTCAGTTTTACTTAAAGATGAAGTTGAGTTCTGGTCATGCGATTGCATTGTGAAAGAAACGGTGTGGAACTGACCAGAAAAGGTTGATCGTCTAGCATATAAGAATTTGTGTGTATTGCAAGGTTCTGGAATCATCAAAATGATAAGAAATTTGGCCAAGTCTTGGTAAAGTTACAAACACTGTACACAGAAAGATGTATATGGGACTACACGAACACGTGGCGTAAAAAGCCGGCCCCCCGATTTTTACGATGTTACATGCATATTTAGAATATGAAGGCATTTGAAAAGCCATGCTTTTCAGGGAACATGCCTTATCTGATGTTCTTCCACACTTGCATAATAAGAATGAACAACACTCACAAATTATTTTTCACCTCTTCCCAGAACTCAACCTTCTCTTTAAATGTTACTAATTGAAACTTCCAAACGTTGGCAGCTATGGAAACTGGTAATCTAATAGATGGCCATCATACAAATTTTAGGTCAACTACATATCAAGTGATTTATAAAAATACAAATACAATCACCTCCATAGCAGCTGGGATATACAAGAGATTCGCCAGACATGGCGTCTTATTTTGTTTACAAGCGACAGATTCCTTTATTTTTGTATCGCTGCATTTTTCATCAAAATGAAAACATGCGCGGGGTTTAGAGTGAGGCAATAGATTATACATTTAGCCTGACGGTAGCGAAGTAAGAGAAAGAACTCAAGAGAAGATGAAAAAACAGGCACTGAAAATGTGTGAGATGTCATGGGACATCATATGCTTGTGCAAATTATCCTGTGATCTCACACATCTCGGCAGCGTTCGGAGAGCTCTTCAGGTGCTATGCCGGGGCTGTATTTAAGCGTTTTATAATTTGTAATAATCATTACTTCGAATGTTTCCAAGCATTGAATTTTGAAAACCTTGTCGAATCAAAGTTTTAACTTTTCAATGATTAAAATAAAGTTAGTTTTTAAAATCAATGAATATCTACTTTTAAACTGCTGGACTATGTCTAGAACTATCGGGGCCCTTCTTGATATCAATCGCAACTATGTACATAAGAGACTGTAAACTTGCGTATTTGTGCAAATGTATACAATAGTTGTTTGTGTACCATGTGGATGGCAATTAGCACAATCAAGAAAGGTGAAATTGAGCAGAAACAAGGCATAAATAAAAAATAAACAAGAAATAAATAAAAGTTTCTGTATGATAAAAAGACAATTCATTTTGTTTTGTTGTAATTTTTTTTTCAGGAGATTTTCCAGATCCCTCGTTCATGATAAGACTTGGATTAAGGAGAGGAGCCATGAAGCATACGCTAAGAACTACTCAACAGTGTTCCCCCATGATCAGCCCTTAGCAGGAAGGAACAAGAGAAAAGATGCTCTCCACCAGGTAGGTAGCCTGCTATTTAACAATAATGATACATGAGGATTTTTGGTCCCAGGGAGGGGGAAAGGAAACTAAATCCCTGTCACCCTCGGGTCTCTCCTTCTCCATTTAATGCCTTATATCTTAGTGTTTTCCTCCGTAATATAGCCTTTGTCTCTGAAACGAGAGGGGGGGGAGGGCATGTTAACCCACAAACATATGCTTCAGTCATCCACCTGCCTTAGATTCAAACCCACAATCTTTTATGATAGACAGAGGCTTTACCAACTGAGCCAACTTGCCCCCCCCCCCTTCTCCCCTCAGTTGACAAGGACTAGTTGTCACACAATGTTTATATGATTCTGTTTACTTTCATCGTCTGTGCTTGTTTCGTCCTGATCAGAAGACAGATAGATGGCCTAGAGCAGCTAAAGTACATTTAAAGGTTCTAGAAGAAGAGGAATACCCAGAACAAGATTGACAAAGTAAAAAATAAAAAACATCAGCAGCTGTGATGTTTTGGAAGAAAGTCCGAATGTCAATTTACTCATTTAGAATTATTAATCATGTAAATTCTAGATCATTGCAAGCTATGCTCTGCAAACACAAATGCAAATCATTGTGGACACAGTGTGTGCGGGCTAGTATCGAATCAAATGACCGGGGTAAAAGTATATCTGTAAAGCACTTGGAGACATTTGTATTAAGCGCTATATAAAAGCGGAATATTATTATTATTATATTTGTTTCCAGAAAAGTTCTTTCAAATGATTGTAATCTCAGAAAGACTTGTCTTGACCAAATTTGTTCCCTTATCAGAAGTTGAAACATGCCTCAAAAGTTACCTCATTTAGCAAATGTGATAACATTGATTCTATTCGAGGAGCCTGCACCTTTTTTTATACAGAAATTTGGCACCATACTTGTGCCTCAAAAAAGGCGTAAATCCCCATCATCACACAAATACGCCTCTGAAAGGCAAAATGTAATATCTAAGCCATCATGAAGGTATTGAGCTTGTAAAATAACCTTGCCTTGTCTAAATAATATAAAAATTAATATGGTATATCAACAACAATTTGGTTTGGGATCCGAGACCCACCTTTTCGTTCCACTAAATTTTACTAAGCTACCTCAGAGAGAAATCAGATTTATTCCCCAAGCAAAACTCTACCTTTTCTTGACTTCCAGGTATTGTGATGTGTGTACCAGGAAGCTCTCAGATTGCAGAGACATGGATAGTTCACATTTGTTATTTTTGAAAATCCTAGAATGTCGAGATGCCATCAAAACGCAATCATATTTTAATTGAAAAATTCTTTCAAGTTTCAAATGAATATAAACTCTAGAGAGAATTGATCCTGATGAGAACTCCTCCTTGTGTGTACTTGCAGGTATTGTCAGATGCTGGATGTGTGTACCAGGAAGCTCTTGGTTGGGAGAGACCCGGATACTTCACACCAGAAGGGAAAGCAGAGGTCAGTATCCAAGCTTAACCCTTACTGTACTGGCCCCCCCCCCCCCATGATCTTGGCCCTCAAATGTCTGATGAACACAAAAATTTGCATGTTTGTAGATATTCACGTATGGAACAAGATAATTAGTTTTTTCCTAATATGCACATTTTTGTGGTTATAGTATAATTGATTATGCAAAATGCTAATTTTATGCATTTTACAGAAGACTACATATTTGTCTCTTGACTTGTGAAGAATCTTGAAATTTGATTAAATGTGTCCTTCATTTCAAATCGCTGAAGTTCCATTATTTTTGTGGTATTTAAAAGTGCATAGGTTAATTTGCATAAATTATGAATATGCAAATTAAGCGATTTGTTTTTATTTTTTGTTGAATGTATGTGGAGCACTGAAAAACAAATCATTTTACCCATGTTCTCACTGTAGAATATTATTCATATTTTCATCATTCTCCTGTAAATTCATATTTCAAAAGATGTTATTCTATTTCTCATGGCCTTGCTTATTATCCATGTTTCTGCTCCATACAATAGGACAGACCATACATATAGTTTACTAGTCTTAACCCTAAGCGCAAAGTTCACCTTTCTATACTGTAAATAATCCTTTCATTGCCAGAAATGTATTTTCTGAGCTATTTCTATTCTTCTTTTAATTTCTGCTTCGCATCTGGCATCTTCTGTGATATTTTGTCCTAAGTAGATGTAATTACTGACCTGCTCAATGATATGTCTATTCTTTTTCAAACAGATTCAAGGCTTATTCTCTGTTCTGCGTATCACTGCTCATATCCAAAAAAAGAGTTCAAAATTCATCATTTTCTTTTTGTATGTTATTGTTATTTATTTCTTATTATTATATCTATGGTTTTATTTCTAATGTATTCTTTTGTTCTGGAATGTACATGTACATTAGGTTACTTTGGGAATTAGGGTTTCTTTACCCTAGTATCATCAAGGACAGGTCCATGTATTTATTAAGGGCTAAAAGACAACAATTTCTTCATGTAATCTCTAACTTCAGAAACACCAAATCTAAAAGTGGCAGTTTTTCCAGAACTTTCATTTGCATTGTTTAAGACCCTGGCTACTGGTCTCATTTTGATCTTTATAACTTTAGAAATAAAGTAAACTTTTGAATTGATACTTGGGTAAAATAAAGAAAAGGGCATGTTTAAATGGGGTCTATTCGCTATTCATAAGGACCGCTATTCATAAGGTCCGCTATTCATAAGGACCGTTATTCATAACGTGTAAATTCCCGTACTTCCTGGTCCGCTATTCATAATGGCAAAAGAGGGTCGCTATTCATAAAGAAATAAGGGTCGTTAATCATAAGGACCGCTATTCATAACGTGAGATGAGGGTCGCTATTCATAATTCATATTAAGGGTCATTAATCATAAGGACCGCTATTCATAATATGAAATCAGGGTCACTATTCATAATACGACGAGAGGGTCGCTATTCATAATACAAAATAAGGTTCATTACTTATAAGGGTCGCTATTCATAACACGGGAAGAGGGTCGCTATTCATAATACGAAATGAGGGTCGCTATTCATAATAAGAAATGAGGGTCGCTATTCATAATAGGGAAAGAGGGTCGCTATTCATAATAGGAGAAGAGGGTCGCTATTCATAATACGAAATGAGGGTCGCTATTCATAATAAGAAATGAGGGTCGCTATTCATAATAGGAGAAGAGGGTCGCTATTCATAATAGGAGAAGAGGGTCGCTATTCATAATACGAAATGAGGGTCGCTATTCATAATACGAAATGAGGGTCGCTATTCATAACAAGAAATGAGGGTCGCTATTCATAATAGGAGAAGAGGGTCGCTATTCATAATAGGAGAAGAGGGTCGCTATTCATAATAGGAGAAGAGGGTCGCTATTCATAATAGGAGAAGAGGGTCGCTATTCATAATAGGAGAAGAGGGTTGCTATTCATAATAGGAGAAGAGGGTCGCTATTCATAATAGGAGAAGAGGGTCGCTATTCATAATAGGAGAAGAGGGTTGCTATTCATAATAGGAGAAGAGGGTCGCTATTCATAATAGGAGAAGAGGGTCGCTATTCATAATACGAAATGAGGGTCGCTATTCATAATACGAAATGAGGTTCGCTATTCATAATAGGAGAAGAGGGTCGCTATTCATAATACGAAATGAGGGTCGCTATTCATAATAAGAAATGAGGGTCGCTATTCATAATAGGAGAAGAGGGTCGCTATTCATAATAGGAGAAGAGGGTCGCTATTCATAATACGAAATGAGGGTCGCTATTCATAATACGAAATGAGGGTCGCTATTCATAACAAGAAATGAGGGTCGCTATTCATAATAGGAGAAGAGGGTCGCTATTCATAATAGGAGAAGAGGGTCGCTATTCATAATAGGAGAAGAGGGTCGCTATTCATAATAGGAGAAGAGGGTCGCTATTCATAATAGGAGGAGAGGGTCGCTATTCATAATAGGAGAAGAGGGTTGCTATTCATAATAGGAGAAGAGGGTCGCTATTCATAATAGGAGAAGAGGGTCGCTATTCATAATAGGAGAAGAGGGTTGCTATTCATAATAGGAGAAGAGGGTCGCTATTCATAATAGGAGAAGAGGGTCGCTATTCATAATACGAAATGAGGGTCGCTATTCATAATACGAAATGAGGTTCGCTATTCATAATAGGAGAAGAGGGTCGCTATTTATAATAGGAGAAGAGGGTCGCTATTCATAATAGGAGTAAGGGGCCGCTATTCATAATACGAAATGAGGGTCGCTATTCATAATACGAAATGAGGTTCGCTATTCATAATAGGAGAAGAGGGTCGCTATTTATAATAGGAGAAGAGGGTCGCTATTCATAATAGGAGAAGAGGGTCGCTATTCATAATACAAAATGAGGTTCGCTATTCATAATAGGAGAAGAGGGTCGCTATTCATAATAGGAGAAGAGGGTCGCTATTCATAATACGAAATGAGGGTCGCTATTCATAATAAGAAATGAGGGTCGCTATTCATTATAGGAGGAGAGGGTCGCTATTCATAATAGGAGTAAGGGGTGGCTATTCATAATACGAAATGAGGTTCGCTTATTCATAATAGAAGAGGGTCGCTATTCATAATAGGAGAAGAGGGTCGCATATTCATAATACGAAATGAAGTTCGATATTCATAAAAAGAAATGAGGTTCGCTATTCATAATAGAAGTATAGGATCGCTATTCTTAATAGTTGCTCCCCCCCCCCCCCCCCCCCCCCCGTGGCTACGTTCCTGGTCCTGTAGGGGGGGGCGTCATATAACCCTGAATAGTTGTCTCTTTTTAAAGTAGTTATATTTTATCTGTTATCTTTGATAATTATATAGAGCTCATGTGGTGAGGAAAAATAAAAGTAAAACATAACACACATGTAGTCCTATCGTAAATTGTCCTCCTTGTTGGAAATCTTGCCCCACCACCCTGCCCCCGACTGATCTTATCCAGGCTACGCCACTGAGATATTAAGTACGCCAAGCAGGCCCATTATCCATTTTAGCTTGCTATTTAAGAAACTAGTAATTGTTTATACGACAATAATTTTTTTGTAGAAAGTAATTTGTATTAGGACTTATGGACCTACAAACTATTGAGCGGGATTGGACCTGACCATAAGCCTAGTATCTACCTACCAAGCCCCCTCCCCCCCCCCCCCATCAGTACGCCCCGGCGCGGATCAAGAATTTTCCAATAGGGGGGGGCTGGTGACCGAAATGATGGGACACGTTCATTATTTAGGCATGCCTTTCTTTCTTCAGAAATGTGAGTTTTCAATAAATATTTATTTCAAATGTTTGGGACCATGTGGCTTACCCCCCCCCCTCCGGCCTATGCTGTAGCCATGGGGTGTCCTCTATCCAGTATGTCGCTTTCTTATTAACATTTAGTTTATTGCTTATGTCATTTTTTTTTTTTCGGTATTATGAATAGCGACCCTCTTCTCCTATTATGAATAGCGACCCTCATTTCTTATTATGAATAGCGACCCTCATTTTGTATTATGAATAGCAACCCTCTACTCCTATTATGAATAGCGACCCTCTACTCCTATTATGAATAGCGACCCTCATTTTGTATTATGAATAGCAACCCTCTACTCCTATTATGAATAGCGACCCTCTACTCCTATTATGAATAGCGACCCTCTTCTCCTATTATGAATAGCGACCCCTACTCCTATTATGAATACCGACCCTCTTCTCCTGTTATGAATAGCGACCTTCTACTCCTGTTATGAATAGCGACCCTCATTTCGTATTATGAATAGCGACCCTCTTATCCTATTATGAATAGCGACCCTCATGTCGTATTATGAATAGCGACCCTCATTTCATATTATGAATAGCGACCCTCTTCTCCTATTATAAATAGCGACCCTCATGTCCTATTATGAATAGCAACCCTCTTCTCCTATTATGAATAGCAACCCTCATGTCGTATTATGAATAGCGACCCCCTTTTCCTTTTATGAATAGCGACCCCCTACTCCTATTATGAATAGCGACCCTCTTTTCCTATTATGAATAGCGACCCTCTTCTCCTATTATGAATAGCGACCCTCATGTCGTATTATGAATAGCGACCCTCTTCTCCTATTATGAATAGCGACCCTCTTCTCCTATTATGAATAGCGACCCTCATGTCGTATTGTGAATAGCGACCCTCTTCTCCTATTATGAATAGCGACCCTTTTCATTGATTATGAATACTGACCCTTATGAATAATGACCCTTATGAATAGCGACCCTCATTTTCCATTATGAATAGCGACCCTCTTTCTGTGTTATGAATACCGACCCTTTTGTAATATTATGAATAGGGACCCTTATGAATAGCGACCCTCACGTCGTATTATGAACAGCGACCCTCTTCTCCTATTATGAATACCGACCCTCTTCTTTGATTATGAATAGCGGTCCTTCTGAATAATGACCCTTATGAATAATGACCCTTTTCTCCAATTATGAAAAGCGGACCTTATGAATAGCGGTCCTTATGAATAGTGGACCTTATGAATAGCGGACCTTATGAATAGCGGTCCTTATGAATAGCGACATTGACCCGTTTAAATAGTGTGACAAATTTGAGGACAATTTGAAAGTCCCTTCAAAGAAATTGCTATACTGTATAGAGTTCTATATCCTCCTTTTGTCCCCTTACACAGTTGAGTATGCTGTATGTCATTTGTAGGGTACAGGGTTTGTCATCAGGGTGATAGACCTGACTAGTCAAGGACCATATTGTGTTATAACTATGGCAGAGGTGCCAACCAGTACAACTTAATTGTATTTAGTACAATAATAAGAGTGGAATACGATAATACGATATCAACTCTTGAAATACGATTTTTTTTTTTTTTAACTATAGATATATATATATATATAAAAAATAAAAAAATTTATACCCATAAAAACCACGGAATCGCATAGAAACATGTACAAGTAAACCCCTGCAACCCAAACAAAAACTTTGCTTTACAATTTTCTTTCAAAATTTTAATGAAAGAGCAAACATTTTACTTGACCGTACGTACCAGTATCACATTTTACTGATATTTTACTGGCCCGGGGCCAACCGGCCGTTGGTAGTGTCAAGTTTTCGTGAAAATCTGATTTTTCTCTCCAAAATCTGATTTTTTTTTTTTTAGGATACTCGGTCTGTTTTTTTGTGTCAAGAGGTTGGCATTTCTGCATTATTGCAGATTTTTACAAGAGCCATATTGTGAATTCAGTGCATCATTTTATATGGAGTGGCTTATAGTCACTTGTGTGTGAATCTTCAAGGTGATTTTGTGGCTGAAGCAAGAGCTTGGAACTAAAAAGAACTGAGTTTGCAGTTAAAACAATATAGATGAACATGTACAATTGAATATGTTTATAAAAAAAACTAATTACAGCAAAAATATGGTCTTTACGGTATGCATTTGCGCTGCGTTACGACATCAATAGGCTTTTAATAGGTGAAAGGAAGGCCGGTTGAAAAATACTAATTTTGGAGCTGCTGAGTACTAATTTGTACTTCCAAAGGTTGCCAGCTCTGCTATGGGATATACATTAACAAGACTATTCTCATTGTCTGTAGATCAGAGAGTATGATTACTATGGGAGCTATGGCCATGAAGCCCATAAGGACTATGCCTATAACGACAGACTGAGAGACGACTACACGTTTGAGTTCCCCAAACACCATAATGTGGTATGTATTGTTTTTATTATTCTATTTTTGTAAGGTGACATTTCAGTAGGTATCACAATGAAATTTTGAAAGTTTCTAAATTTCACTTCCCCTGCCCATTTCCTTTTTGAGCACATGAAAAGAAGAATTTTGATACCTCATTTGTCAAATTTGAATAAGTACTTTTGAAAATACGGCCACTTACATGAGAGACGAAATGGTCAAATTTTGCGTAATTAGGCAATTAACCATTTTCAAGGTGATATAATTTTGTAATTAATTGATGAATCACCTTTCTTTTCAAGAAATCTGTTCTCTGTATGGATTTCTACATGCCTATTTTTTTTCAGGTTCTTTTGACAAATTTTTTTTTTTGTGGAATTTTTCAAATAATTATATCAAGCCCATTTTGATGCGTGGGACAAATGGCTATTTTTGCGTCGCCGGAACAAGTTTTTATGGGTTTTGAAACATGGCTGGTTTAAGAGTGTCTATCAAGAGGGGCTGAAATTCGGCATATCTGGGGTATATATATATATATATAGATTAATTATTTCTGTAAGTTTGGACCATCAAATCCATTTAAATTAATTGTAAATGGCATTTAAAAATGGCTCTAAACTCTTCAAGAAGTCCAGGTAGACAAAGGAACATCCCTTCACTGCTATTGTGTAAAAATGTGTAGAACAGGTGTCACACGCATATTCACCTGTTCTACACATTTTTACATAATAGCAGTGAAGGGATGTTCCTTTGTCTACCTGAGGAACTGTATTTTGTCCGCTTTCTTTGTCCGTAATGTTCATAGTGTCAGGGTACAGCTGTATTCATCGGATTTGCGCTCAAGCACCATCTCGTGACCATTCTTAATATTTACATGATCGTGTACTCCAGTAAATTCTCTTTCTTCTCGTATCAAAATTGAATTAAAAGTTTCACGATCTTTTTAAAACATACCCCATCATTTTTTATATGAAAATAAAGCTTAAGATGTGCTCTTTCCAACCAGTGGATTTTTATGAAGTGACACGGTATGAATTAGAGGGTAAATCTCAAGCAACTGTGTCGTAAGTAATTGATGGATTTTGATGAAAATGACATGACATGTAAGACAGAATCCTGAGCTTTCGAGAGACATATAATTTTATAATATTTATAACATTGACACATATCTTAGTTGGTAATTGTTGTTTTTGGAACCTGGATTTCTCTAGATTGGACAAACTTGTTATCCAGTGCCCATTGTGGTGGGTTTAACTGTCCACCATGTACTCTTATTCATGTAATGCCCATTCGGTCTCTTACATTTAACTGGTTAATTATTCATTTGGTCCTGATAAAAATAAATTGCTGACAAGGGCCTAAATAAAAGCAGTAGTAGAAACAATAGGAAGCCAAACTAGTCATCGGACCAACTAATAATCAGACAGAATAGTTTACAAGTTGACATACCCGGTAGTTGGAAAGTTGAGAAGGGTCTTATCTATAGAAATCCAGGTTCCGATAACAAAATTTACCAACTAAGATATGTGTCAATGTTTTCAAGTCCTCCAGATGGTTACACACAATATATAGCAGTTGTATGTAGACAAAAGTGACAGTAGACAAATTGGTTGGTAGACAAAAATTATATTAAACAAGCTGGCAACTACAGTATACTACTTGGCAATGGACCGGATGTCAAGAAAACAATTGTGTATATACTTAAAACTACTTACAATTTGATCCTATATCCACGTCATTGTTAATCCTGTTCTTCCTGTGGGCCATACAATTAATTTTATTCCGGCATTGCTAAGTACCCAATTAATACACCAGGGGGGTGTTTTACACAGATCAAAAGTCAAAGTTAACTCAAAGTTGGACTTAAAAATTATGGAGAGCCATTTGTAGCCTTAAAATGAAATATATTCAAAAGCGAAAATTTAAGTATTTTAGATATTTTATAAATTCCACATCAAGAACGTGAAATCTCCTTGATAATAGAAAATATGAATGATTTGAATCAACATTTTTTGCCTTTTAAAATAACTTTTACAAAAGATTTGAATAGATGCTAACGGCTTTCCATAATTGTTAAGTCCAACTTAGAGATAAGTTCAACTTATGATCTTTGTGAAACACCTATGCTGTCCAAGGATGTAAGCCCTGAGCAAGGATTGATCCCAGGACCTCTTGTATATGAGTCAAGAGCCTTCACCAATGCACCACATGCAGTGCTCCGGCCACCATTCAAGTTTGAATAGACATTGTTTCTTGCCCTTGTTTTTAGATTGGCAAGGAGTGTTTAGCTGCAAGGAATGCTGTAGCTGTCTTCAACATGTCCTACTTTGGTCAGTTCTACCTGACAGGGCCAGATTCACAGGCCGCTGCAGACTGGATCTTCACCAATAACCTTGACAAACCCGTCGGTATGTATATAGACCTTATACACAAATAAAGAGTCCTGCTCATGCAACTACATTGTAAAGAGAACCAGTCTGGAAATTTGATAAATTAATACCTAAGAATCGATGTGTACTGTTGGGTTTTTAACAGTAATCGACTCAGTCTTGCTGAAATTTACGTACACTAGGCACAGGAACGGGTGTATGGGGACTACACACACATGTGTTGCATGAAAGTTTGGTCTAACTTTTCAGGTATTTCTAATATCAAATATGAGGGCTTAAGAAGAGCACATCTTTTGAGGGGAAAATTCTGCTGTGAAATTTTTTGGTCATTTTTTTTTCAAATTGATTTTTTAAATAAAAGACTTAAGAAAGCTCAATGATCGTTATTTGCCTTTAAAAACTAGAACTCAACTGTGTCTGTCACCCCATTAGGTTCAACCATCTACACTTGCATGTGTAACAAGGCTGGAGGCACCGAGGGAGACCTTACTGTCAGCATCATTGACCCCATGGCGGTCTCCAGCCCCTTAGCTCCAAGCTTTGAAGGGCGGGGCTTCTATGTGGCAGCTGGAGGAGGCGTGGCCGAGCATGTCAAGTCCCACATGCAGACTGAGATCCAAGATAAGAGGTTTCAATGTCAGATCGTGGATGTAACGAACGAGATGGGTGTGATCAGCATCCAGGGACCAAAAAGGTGAGAAATTTCTTTGCAATAGCGGATATGTCACGACAGTGGATCATATGATTCGCTGTTCAAGTCCCATAGCACTAATATCCTTTAACAAGACTATGATCTACATATGCCTCTCTCCACCCAGGTGTAAAAGGGTACCTGGTAGGAATTCATTCCTTGAATGCTTTGAGTGCCAGCTGAGGTCAATCCAGTGTAATAATATTACTTCTTAGGCACCTTTAGCATCCCCTACAATAGACATGTGCGTAATGTAAATGTATTTATTAGTTTTATTATCAATATACCACTTCTCAATTGTCATAGCCAAGCAATATTACTCTTACCTACATGTAAGGTGACCCAACATTTGCTCCTGGCTTTATTATGTCAAAGATATAGGGTTAGGGGTATGAATTGGGTTCAATTTAGATAAGGTTTAGGGTTAGTTGTGCACAGGTACATTCTTTTACAGACATATGTTTAGTTATATATGGTATTAAGAGTACCATAAAGCTTTGTTCAGATATGCAGCTGTAAATATTGTTGCGCTAAATAGGTCGAAGGTCATAGGGGTGAATTTCTGAAAATTTAATTTTTAGCCTCATTTTAGCGTTATGTCAAGAACTACACTGTATTTGATGTATGAACTTCAAATTTGGTGCAAGTACATGTATGTATCACCATAGGAAGACAATCTGCTTAACTTCTTCTCTTTTTTTTGGGGGGGGGGGGTAAATAGGTGAAAGGTGAAAGATTTCCAGGTTTACAGTTTTAGCCCTGTTACCACAATGTACATGTATCAAGTACGATTTGAGCCATGAACTATGGTGATGCACACTATTAATACCAATTACTGTGCATCACCATAGCTAGAAACAATTGATCGGATTTAGGGTACAAGAAGGTCAAATGTCAGCAAGTCAATTTGCATGAAATTAAAGGTTTCTTTAACTTGTTATGACCAAGTCAATGACTATTTTTAAGCAATTGATTTAGTATTTTAAAAAGAGCTGTGATAAACGGCTGCAGTTAACTGCGGCATATATGAAGAAGGCTTTAGTTTTTACCATTCAAAACACAACAGGAATTTCTTTAACTTCCTCGTACAACTACATAGATTATACAAAATTATTGATGTTATTTAAATTATGAGATTGCAAATGGAAGCTCTTTGTACAAAAGCATTCTTAAACTTTGTAGTACTAATCATTCATTCATTCATTTATTTTCATTAGTCGTGAACTGCTCCAAGCCCTTGCAACAGACTTTGACTTCAGCAACGAAGCATTCCCTTTCTCATCCCACAAGATCATGACGATAGCGGGTCACCAGGTCCGAGCCATAAGGCTGACCTTTGTAGGGGAGTTAGGATGGGAGCTTCATGTACCCAACGATGCAGCTGTGGACATTTACCAAGCCGTCATGCAAGAGGGCGCCAAACATGGTGTCACTAATGGTGGTTACAGGGCCCTGGATTCTCTCAGCTTGGAAAAGGGTGAGATTTTTATGCCTCCGTTACGAAGTAGCCGGAGGCATTATGTTTTCTGGTTGTCCGTCCGTACGTCCATCCGTACGTCCTATTCTCATGATCGCGTTATCTGAAGAACCGATTGATGGATTCCTGCCAAACTTTGGTCATGTATGTATCTTGCAGAGCCGATGAACTGATTAGATTTTGGGGTCACGAGGTCAAAGGTCAAAGGTCACAGGGCTCATTATGTATGCAAACACAGCTCGTGATCGCGTTATCCGAAGAACCGATTGATGGATTCCTGCCAAACTTTGGTCATGTATGTATCTTGCAGAGCCGATGAACTGAATAGATTTTGGGGTCACAAGGTCAAAGGTCACAGGGCTCATTATGTATGCAAAAACTGCTCATGATCGCGTTATCTCAAGAACCGATTGAAGGATTCCTGCCAAACTTAGGTCATGTATGTTACTTGCGAAGCCGATGAACTGATTAGATTTTGGGGTCATGAGGTCAAGGTCAAAGGTCATGTGGCTCATTATGTATGCAAAAATAGCTTGTGATCGCATTATCATTAGAACAGATTGATGGATTCCTGCCAAACTTAGATCATGTATGCATCTTGCAGAGCCAATGAACTGAGTAGATTCTTTGGTCATGAGGTCAAAGGTCATTGGCTCATTATGTATGCAAAAATAGCTTGTGAACACATTCTCATTAGAACTGACAGATGGATTACTATTTAACTTGGGACATCTTACAGAGCCAATGAACTGAGTAGATGTTAGGGTCATGAGGTCAAAGATCAAAGGGTCATATATGTATATGAGAAATTGCTTGTAATCACAATATTCTGAGAACCTGTTAATGGATTACAATTGAACTTGAATTTGAAAAATTTCTTCTGTTTTGGTTTGTAAATTGCTCTATGACGGAGGCATCATTTCGACTGCGCGCAGTCGAAGTTCCATCTAGTTCTTTCTTTTTTAATTAAGTTTGAAACTGCCTGGTGGAATGCATTGAATCAATATAGGGTTGAAAATTCTGTATCTGGTCATTCTGAGAGTTATATCATAGAAGTGGTTGATCTGTGATTGATTGATAGGGGTGGGAGAGAGGGGCACGTCATAGAAGTGGTTGATTTGTGATTCATTGATAGGGGCGGGAGAGAGGGGCACGTCATAGAAGTGGTTGATTTGTGATTCATTGATAGGGGTGGGAGAGAGGGGCACGTCTTTGATACGGAGCACCAACAAGACAGAGGAAGAAGGTTGACTCAGATATCTCTGACTGCAACTAAAAGAACACCCTTATAGAAAATAGACCAGGCTTAACTTGAAAAGCTGAGTTTCTTTGAAGGAATATGTACATTCTAGAGTATGATGATAATATACCTCTCTATACATTGACATTGGGCCATTTTGATGATATGAAGGTGGACCAAGCATCACATACAAGAGAAATTTGGACACTCAATTTATTTGGAGGGAAGTTAATGATATAATTCTTTATATACCCTACAGGTTACAGGCATTGGCATGGGGACCTCCGTTCTGATGACACCCCTCTGGAAAGTGGACTAGGCTTCACCTGCAAGCTCAAGATGGACACTCCATTCTTGGGGAGGGAGGCTTTGGAAAAACAAAAGGCCGAGGGTCTGAAGAGGAGAATAGCTTGCTTCACCACTGATCCGTAAGTTATAATCAACCTGCTTTATTCACCACCTGTATAGAATGACCATCTACAAACAGGGCTCCCAGTGTCCTGGATAAACCTGGATAAGTCATGGACAGTAATGGAAATTGTGAGGGGAGGCAAAAGGCTATTACAAACAAGAAATAATTGTTATCACTGTGTGGTATTTGTACAAGGCTTGGATACCGCACGCCATTCCAAATAGTACTTATCTGGTCATGATGGGTCATGGAAAGTCATTGAAATTGGTCGTCAAAGTTCTTGAAATTGGTCGTCAAAGTTCTATGGGAGCACTGGTATAATGACTGTCTTGAACATTTGTAATCTTTGACTCATATAAGCTGCCATGAGGACAAATAATTACACATATAACCAAGAAGAACCTCTCCTCAGAATCAATTAATGCACTGATGAGCTGATACAGATTTTTTATTTTATGTTTAGCAGGTATGAAGACAGCTTTTGGAACTTGGTGTTTTCCCAATAATTGACACTGGCTACTTACAGCACATGTACATGTTCCAACATGCACTGCAAGCTCATTTTCATGTGTTGATAAATTCTGCAACCCTTAGGAGATTGTGAAATTTTCAAAAATAAAACCTTCACAAATTTAGGAACTAAACACAGTAATTGATGTGAAAAATAATATTGTTCAAGCCATTATGCTATATGACAATTTTGGTTTAAATAAAATTGTATCGTTTTATTTTGTTTATTTTTATAGATCACTAGCCCTATTAGGTATGGAAGTGTTGCGTCGCAACGGGGAAGTCGTAGGGTATTTTCGTCGGGCCGACCACGCCTTTGCCCTGAACAAGGGTATTGGGTATGGGTATGTACAGAAATCCGACGGCAGCACAGTCACCAATGCCTACTTGAAAGAGGGTGAATACACTGTAGAGAGGATGGGTGAGATCTATCCCGCCAAGATTCACCTCAAAACTCCATTTGATCCAAGCAATGACAGAATTAAAGGCTTTTATGAATAAGGACACTGATCAAATCTACTAGCTAAGGTAGTTAAATTAGCCTTAAGGTTTGTTCAGATATGACGCTGCAAGACCGCTGCTTCAAAAAAATGTTGATGGCGTAAAGTGTAATAGGCTTCACATCTCTGTATCTTATAACACAGGGCACAGTGAATACGTGCAAGTCCTTGTTGCGTAATAGATAATAGATAATAGATGGATGATAATAAATGTTGGACCAGTTATTGCAAGTACAAATAATCTTTAAATTTAACAGTTATTTAAAAAAATATATATATACATAATATACAGAGGTAAAGAGAGAGAGAGAGAGAGAGGAAATTATTATATTGCAATTGTTAACATGAGATCCATAGACTGAAAAATTATACATGCAGGTGTGTCTGTTGTGTGACAAGTAGGGTCAAATTATGTTGAATATAATTATTACATTAAGAATATATCATTAAAGCATTTCATATAAAGTGATGTATAGTGCCCATGAGCATACACAAATTCTCATAATTGTTGAGTTTCCACATTAAATTTTAAATTGGAGTTGAGTTACAATCATGTTATTGCAGCAGAATTATACACGGTGTTATTAAGCATTTGTTTGTATTACGGTACGTATTGTGATCTCATGTAATATGTTTTATTTGCACGGAAACTGAATGCCAAGGCAATGATGATTTGATCCACCTGAGAAATATTTCAGACCTTTAACTCTACCAGTGTTAAACATGAGGACCTGTTTCTTATTTACTTCTTGTTTTATAGTTGGAATTTCTTATCAAACTTGTAAGCGATTATTTTATCAAAACATATCTTATTCAAAATGGTCTCAAATTGCGCATTTTCTTGAGTACCTCTAATTTTCTGTAGAAATACATGTAGATCCTTTCAAGTCTGACTTGAAAGAAAATTTATGTTATATTTGTAAATGATTTGGGAAGAAATGGGTAATACTAATATAGGGAAGAATTTGGATTCTTTGAATTAAAGGAAGATGGTTGTCAGTTTCTATGTGCAGGAGGTCATAATTCACTGACACCAGACTTTGTGGAAGTACCATTAATGGGTGTACAAGTCTCACACATAGCAAACCTGTAGTCGCATCAAGAAATTCCCCCTATACTGTTTTCACACTGGCACAAATTTGCTTAACCCCGAACTATAGGTGGGGTTAAAGGGGGGTCTTAGCCCCACGTATAGTCCGGGGTTAAGCTTATTTCACTCTCTGTTCAGACACATATTTACCAAAGTGGGCTAGCCCCACCTATAGTACGGGTTAGCTGGCCCTGCAAGGAAGCAGGGCTAACCCCGCAATTGCGGTGCCAAGCAAATGAATGAGAACAGAAACAAAAAGTAGTCCGGTACTACGCAATGGAGCGATTGATGAATGTTCACGCTATACAGCTATTACGGGGCTAACAGCATTAATGTTCTTATTCCGGTGTAGGCGCTTAGTACAGGACTAAAAAAGCGTGTGTGAAAAGCCAAAAAAGTTAGTCCAAGGTTAAGGATAGTACGGGGTTAAGCAAAGTATGAGGTTAAGCAAAACAAGTGTGAAAAGTGTACTAGTCTCTCAGAGTCTTCAGGGGGAGGGAAATGTAAGATAATGACTTTATCATGTGGGGAGGGGGGGGGTGGTTGGAAAATGCAGAGCATTACATAATACTGAAGGCTAACCCTGGTGATTATCAACACCCGTTATTTGGTAAATGCCTGAATGGTATGGAATTTCCCACGAGAGCCGACTACTATGTGTCTTCAACAATTTAATGCACGGGATGTAATATATTTGGCATTAAATGCTGTTGGTGGTCATGGAGTATACTGACCAGTAAAGACTTTCATTTTATCATGTTCTTTAATTAATGGAATCCTTAAATTTCTCTGATTATTGATGCTGAGATAGTAATATTAATTTCAATTGCTTGAATTATGGTACTGTATGGCTTTGGGCTATGATAATCATAGCTGCCAACAAGGGAGGAATGATTCCTATTTTATAGCCTTTAAGCTATCAATTTTCTCTTGTGACCTCGCAATAAATACTTTCATAATCAATTTCAACATTCATCACAGCTAGATTCTGGTGTTTTTGTTTTTTACTTTTGTTGGTGTTTTTTTTTACAAGAGTGTATAGCCATTTAAAGGGGAAGTCCACTCCGTTGTCATGTTTTAATTCAAAGCACAAAAAAATTAGATAATTACATGATCGCAACTTACGGAAAAATCTACTTATGGTAAATGAAGTGCTAAATTTTGAAGTTGTAATATATCAAACACAAATTGGCAACTGAATGATTTCCCTCCTAGGCAGCACTCCATTTTTTTCTACTGAGAAAGTGAGAATTGAAAAAAAAAAAATGCTTTCTTCATAGTTATTGATAAATGAGGAATGAATCTACCCAATAGATTGGGTGTGTTAAGACAAGTCGAAAAATGTACAGGAAATGGAAATCAATAAATAAAAAATATGTAGTATAAAACAAAGGATATTACAACATTGCCAATTAGTTTGATCAGTCACAATGTCTTCCTTTATCAGAATTACTTCAAGCTTTCTCTGTGTAACAGGTCAGAATTGAACTGTTTTATAGTGAAACATATATATCTATTTCTAATCAATATCTCCTCAGGAGGAAAGTAAGAAGTTTATATGTTAACAAACTTTTTACTTCAAAGAAGTATGACTCACACATATTCTGAGTAGAAGCTATCAATTTGGCCAAAATATGACATTCCACAGCTATGAGAGAGTTAATGATGTATGGTCACTTGGTCAAAGGTTGGTAACTCGACCCCCCCCCCCCCCCTTCCAGAACACTTGTAATAACTTAGCCAAACAAACCCCTAATTGTATACATCGGATAAGAACCCCCAAAACAAATGATTTCCTGTCTCCCTCCCAATAACGAGACCCTTTCCCAGAACAGGTTATGTGTGGTAGCTATACCACCGTGAGAGGGTTCAATATCGCTATTCATAAGGACCGCTATTCATAAGGTCCGCTTTTCATAATTGGAGAAAAGGGTCATTATTCATAAGGGTCGTTGTTCATAAGGACCGCTATTCATAATCAAAGAAGAGGGTCGGTATTCATAATATTAGAAGAGGGTCACTATTCATAATACGAAATCGGGGTCGTTATTCATAAGGGTCCCTATTCAAAATATTACAAAAGGGTCGGTATTCATAACACAGAAAGAGGGTCGCTATTCATAATGCAAAATGAGGGTCGCTATTCATAATACGAAATGAGGGTCGCTATTCATAATGCAAAATGAGGGTCGCTATTCATAATACGAAATGAGGGTCGCTATTCATAATCGAAAATGAGGGTCGCTATTCATAATACGAAATGAGGGTCGCTAATCATAATGCAAAATGAGGGTTGCTATTCATAAGGGTCATTATTTATAATCGATGAAGAGGGTCGCTATTCATAATAGGAGAAGAGGGTCGCTATTCATAATAGGATTAGGGGGTCGCTATTCATAATAGAAAAAAGGGGTCGCTATTCATAATAGGAGAAGAGGGTCGCTATTCATAATAGTAGAAGAGGGTCGCTATTCATAATAGGAGTAGAGGGTTGCTATTCATAATAGAAGAAGAGGGTCGCTATTCATAATAGGAGTAGAGGGTTGCTATTCATAATACGAAATGAGGGTCGCTATTCGTAACAAGAAATGAGGGTCGCTATTCATAATAGGAGTAAAGCGTTGCTATTCATAATACGAAATGAGGGTCGCTATTCATAATAAGAAATGAGGGTCGCTATTCATAATACGAAATGAGGGTTGCTATTCATAATAGGAGAAGAGGTTCGCTATTCATAATAGGAGAAGAGAGTCGCTATTCATAATAGAAGAAGAGGGTCGCTATTCATAATACGAAATGAGGTTCGCTATTCATAATAGGAGAAGAGGGTCGCTGTTCATAATAGGAGAAGAGCCATTCATAATAGGAGTAGAGGGTTGCTATTCATAATACGAAATGAGGGTCGCTATTCATCATAGGGTCACTATTCATAATAGGAGTAGGGGGTCGCTATTCATAATACGGGATGAGGGTTTTTATTCATAAAATGAAATAGGCCTAAGCAAAATCCAAAATGCTCATAACAAATGGAAATATTGGACGGAGGACACCCCTAAGGCGATACATGGCCCTAAATATTTGTCTTGTTTTTAAGTAGGTTTGAAATTTGTTATTCAATGTTGTAAACATAACTGAGAATTTAAATCAATAACATTTGAATCATGAAACATCCTCAAGCTCACCTCCCCTCCCCCCTCCCCCTCCCCCCCCCCCCCCCACACCCGCCGCCTTCGCCTTTATGATGACGACTCCGGTAGCGGACCTTAATATTTATTTTCGGGGAGGGGGGGGGCTGAGGTGGTTTCCTTATAATATATATGGTCTTGTCACCAAAGTAAACTTTCTTAAGTTTGACTATCAGTTGAGGGGAGGGGGGGGGGTTCGCACAAGGGGGACAAATTACGATAGGATTATGTGTGTTATGTTTCCCTTTTTTGTCACCACTGGAGCGGGGAAAAATATTTTAGCTAGATTAGGGGGATGTATTTTTATATAATTATCAAAGCTTAAAAGAAAATATAGGCCTACTTTTAAAAAAAGACATAATGAAGGGGACGCCACGGTTTGCATAATGCTTTACGGTCGCAAAATCGTATCTTATTTGACTTTAAATCTTGAAAATCTTACTTCCTTACTTATGAGGAGAAAAACAAAATCGTGCAATATTATATATTTACGAAAAGCTTGAATATTGTATATAATCTAACTCTCTACAACCAAGGTCGTCGCTAAGGGGGATGTGGGGTGCGACAACCCCACCTGTCAAGATATTGTCGGTAAAATTGCGCTGCTGTCGGGAAAAATGAGGAAAGGGGGAGGGGGAAAAGGAGAGGGAAAGGGAAAGAAAAGGAAAAGAAAGGAAAGAAAGGAAAGAGAAGAGAAGAAAGAAAGAGAAAAAAGACAAAGACGAAGGAGAGGAAAGAAAGGAAAAGAAGAAAAAAGAAAGAAAAGGAGCAAAAGAAAAAGGGGATTAAAGAGAAAGAGAGAGAGGGTATGTTTGGTGGAGTCGCCACGTCGAGGGAGCAAGAAAGATACGCATAGATAATTTTGTTGCTGTGTCGGGTCCGCTGTGTCGGTATTCTTGCTCGATCTTCGTATACTATATTTATGTAGAAGTTTGAAGTCGGTGAGATGTATTATGTCGGTAATTTTATTTCCCCTACGAAGTGTGACTTTTTATCGGATAAAGAAACATTTTTGAGAATTCAGACAATGATTAAGAGTCGCCCGAATCGTTCGAATCGTCTTCTTTGTCTAATATTTTAATGAAACGTTAAAGCTTCCGCGCTTTAACGGGTTATTTTCGTTTCTTTTTTTTTCTTCATTTTTCGAATGCATTTCATGAACTAATGTAGATGAAATGAAATGAATGAATGTTGATGATGTGGAAGGAAAAAGGAGTTACCTAAAAGTCATTTTGAATATACTGAAATAACTTTCCATCTATCACTGTACGTCCCATATAATGTACACTAAACACTCATTACATGTCGTGGGAAGTTTTTTTTTTTTAAGTAGAGCAGCAAGCCACATTCCCCAATACGCGCATACCTCCTAGTTAATTTCAAACAGCTCATCAATATGTAAGACCTGAATTGACCTCAATGCAAGCAAGCACATGCGTCTTACTAGGTAAACCATCTGCAAGTAAAGCATTATACAATGTACTAGGTCATCATGGAAGTTCTAGAAAACAACAGGGGAGGGATCAAAATAAGCTTTGAAGGGCACTTATACGGGGAAAAATGAATTCAGACAAGGATTAAGAGTAGTGAACGGTACAACTAATCGTCTTCTTTCTCTAATATTTTAATGGAACGTCAAAGCTTCCGCGCTTCGCACGGGAAGGGGGGGGGTGAAAATAATTTCGCTCCTGGCCCCGGATTTATAGGGTTAAATTTGTAGACATTGGGACATTGGCATTAACATATATATATATATATATATATATATGTTAATATATAAATGGTAGCTATTTTTGTCGGTATTCGGTGGCCTCTTCACCCCCCCCCCCCCCCCCTGAAACTGAAAAAGGTCTAGCGACGCCCCTGCCTACAACCCCCTTTTTGTCGCTTCCATCCTTTGCTGAAGGTAAGGGACATGATAGATCAACCCCTTGATGGCAACACTGCTACCCCCAACCGCACCCCCCCCCCCCCCGTGAAACACAAACAGTCTACGCCATCTATGAACTAATTGGATAGCGACTCTCCTTCCTTATTATGAACAGCGAACCTCTAGTCCTATGATGAATAGCGACCATCATTTCCTATTATGAATAGCGACCCTCATTCCGTATTATGAATAGCGACCCTCTTCTCCTATTATCAATAGCGACCCTCATTTCGTATTATGAATAGCGACCCTCTTCTCCTATTATGAATAGCGACCCTCTTCTTCTATTATGAATAGCAACCCTCTACTCCTATTATGAATAGCGACCCTCTTCTACTATTATGAATAGCGACCCTCTTCTCCTATTATGAATAGCGACAGTCATTTCGTATTATGAATAGCGACCCTCTTCTCCTATTATGAATAGCGACCCTCTCCTCCTATTATGAATAGCGACCCTCTTCTCCTATCATGAATAGCGACCTTCTTCTCCTATTATGAATAGCGACCCTCTTCTCCTATTATGAATAGCGACCCTCTTCTCCTATTATGAATAGCGAACCTCATTTCGTATTATGAATAGCGATCCTCTTTTCCTATTATGAATAGCGACCCTCTTCTCCTATTATGAATAGCGAGCCTCTTCTCCTATTATGAATAGCGACCCTCGTTTCGTATTATGAATAGCGACCCTCTTCCCGTGTTATGAATCGCGACCCTTATAAGTAATGAACCTTATTTCGTATTATGAATAGCGACCCTCTCGTCGTATTATGAATAGCGACCCTGATTTCATATTATGAATAGCGGTCCTTATGATTAATGACCCTTAATGTGAATTATGAATAGCGACCCTCATCTCACGTTATGAATAGCGGTCCTTATGATTAACGAACCTTATTTCTTTATGAATAGTGACCCTCTTTTGCCATTATGAATAGTGGACCAGGAAGTACGGGAATTTACACGTTATGAATAACGGTCCTTATGAATAGCCGACCTTATGAATAGCGGTCCTTATGAATAGCGAATAGACCCCCGTGAGAGTGTAGCTGTTATAAAAGAAGGCAGAGGTATTTGTCAGATTCACTCCTGTACTGCACCCCATCCATGGAGCAGGCAGGGAGGTCGACTCTGCAAGCTTTTGGTGTTACATGTCATTATATTAGGTAAGAAGATTACCCTTTTGTCAAGTTGATAATTATTAAGATAATTAGTATTTTTGTAGATGTATTCTGATGTATGAATTAATATGCATTCTGTAAGGTGTGGCATATATCTGTTTAATCATCAGTAGGTTGATTTCGTTAGTGAGTTAAGCACTAGATTAAGATTTGGTAATAGTAATTTGAGATGATTTGAATATATGTTGTCTGTTATATAAGTTGTAATCTTTAGGAGTTTTAGTTATATAATGTGTTGTTGAGATTAACTCTGGATAATCGTATTTTGCAAGACAGTTGTAATTTCAAGTAATGTTTTAAGAGTTAACAGTTAGCGGATATAGTCTGAACCTTCTTCAGTTTTCTGTTGTATATCTGTAGGGTATAATTCACAATGATTTGTATTAATTATTATTCCTCTAGGTATTGACAATCAAGATGTAAGAAGCGGGTACAATGAGAGGAAACAGTCCTCTAGGCCAGATTGCTAGGGTGAGTGGGTTATCATATTCAATGTATAAACCACTAATTCAACGTAGTTTTAATTGGGAATTATGTTTGATTGTTTGACAAAGTTCACTTGATGGTTGTATTCATTTATTTGTTGGGAAAGTTATCCATTAAGATGGAAGAACTTTATTGATTAGATACTTGTTATTTTCATGCGATATTGATTAAGTTTTAATGAATGTAATATAAACAACATGTTTATCATTTATTATCATGAGTCGGCTTGACGTCATATTGTTGGAATGCGTATCTTAGAGTCATTAACAAATATTATGTTTATCACTATTATGTGTGTTTTTCAAACATGTCCACATTTCTATTTAATTGTTTTAACTTTGTTTATTTGTCCAGGCTTTGGCTTAGTTTACTTTGCACCTGAAATAAAAAGAACCGCAACACAACGAATGGTGTGATGAGTATTTTCTACCAGTTTCTGCGTGTGATCGGCGTGTTACATCTGATTATACTAATAATTTATAAGCTTTTATTTTAACCAACTTGATGCGAGGTGGACTTCCCCTTAGTGGTCTTCAGTTTCCAAAAGATGTAGCTAATTTGATAGTGGGGTGACCTACATGTAATATACCCTGCATCACCCAAACCCTCGGAGTATCAGTAGATAATTCACCCTTGCAAGTTGTACTTGGTACTTGGTTGGGTAATCCCTTTGGCAGCTCACTCAGGAAGCTATACTGGGATGGTAGGTGAGGCAAGTGACTACAAGGAGTGGCATGAATTGCTGGAATGGTGTGTGGACAAAGCACTTGTCAATTTACAGTAAACTATGCTAAGTCCAGTGCAAGTAAAAACCAAGCTAGTAAGCTTATATGATGTGAGAACCAACGGGGGGCTGCATCATTCTGATGGAGGGTAGAGCAGCCTCCTTGAAGTTGGTTATTCCTGTTGCATTGACTGCTGAGCCTGGCAGATGGTTCCAGATCCTTATTGCTCTTGGGTAGTATGAGAACTTGAAGGAGTCGATAGTTGCAACAGGAATTACATACTTCAGGTTGTGGCCATGTCTTCCGAAGTATGTAGCAGGGATAACAATAGTTGGTGCAGGTATGGAGACAAGTCGGTGATGGATCTTGTAGAGAAGGGTGCATTGGTCGAGGATTCGACGTGTGTGAAGCGTGTCCCACCCTAGAGCTGCCACAAGAGCTGATGGTGATGTGGTGTATCTGTAGTCACGGTACACAAAGCGAGCCGCTGTTCTTTGTACTTGCTCTAGCATTTTTGTGACCGTGACGCTGTGTGGGTTCCAAGCCTCCGAGGCATACTCCAATTGGGGGCGCACTAAGGCTGTGTAGGCCCTGGACTTTACATCCCTGGTACAGGGTGAGAGAGTCCTGCGAAGAAGACCTAGGGTACGGCTTGCTTTATGCCGGATGGTTTGGCAGTGCTTGTTCCAACGGAGATCAGCAGTAACCGTTACTCCAAGGTACTTGTACTCTTTCACTCTCGGAATCAGTCCATTTGACAGGTGGTATTCTCGGATGCTGGGAGTACGCTTCCGTGTGATGGTGAGGATAGCGCACTTTTTCACGTTGAAGTCCATCATCCAGTTTGAAGACCACCTGGACAGCTGTTGGAGATCGTCCTTTAGGATTTGATGGTCCTCAGGGCATCGAATCTCACGATAGAGGGTGCTGTCATCTGCGAAGAGACGCATTGTGGACTGGATGTTGTCTTGGATATCGTTGATATACAACAGGAAGAGGGTAGGGCCGATGACGGATCCCTGGGGGACTCCAGATGTTACATCCCTCCATGTTGATTTGGATCCATCAACTACGACTGCCTGTTGTCTATCAGTGAGGAGAGACATTATCCACTGGAGTGAGTCACCACTTATTCCATAGTACTGAAGTTTGGTTGACAGGAGAAGGTGTGGTACTCGATCAAATGCCTTTCTTGAAGTCCAAGAAGATTATATCAGCTTGGCTACGCTGCTGTAGGATGGAGGACCAGTCGTGGACGGCTGTTGTCAATTGAGTGGTTGTTGACAACCCTCGTCGGAAGCCATGCTGTGCATCAGTGAGGATATTATTCACTGCAACATGCTTCGACACATGGCTCAGGATGATATGTTCCATGACTTTGCAGCAAACGCAGGTAAGTGAGATCGGTCTGTAGTTGGAGGGGTCACACTTTTCTCCCGACTTGTGAATAGGGGTAACCAGTGCTTGTTTCCATTGGGCTGGAACGATGCCACTGTTGTAGCTTTGTTGAAACAGGAAGGACAGTGGAGAAGCAATCTCGCGAGCTACCAACTTTAGGAGCTTGGGTGGAAGTTCATCAGGTCCGCTGGCCTTTGAAGGGTCCAGTTGTTGGAGGCGTTTCTCGACACCGGTCCTGTGAACATGCAGGTGACCAATAGTTGGAAAAGGAGAAGGTCCTTTCTGTACAAGAGGTTGGAGCTGGTGAGGAGTAAAGACAGACTGGAAGTAGTCGTTCAGTGTCTCTGCCTTGTCTAATGCTGAGGCGCATAGTTTAGATGGAGTACGCAAGGTAGGAATACCAATGTTTTCAGAACGACATGTCTTGATGTAAGACCAGAAAGACTTTGGGTTGTCCTTAAGGCTTGCCCCGATGATGTTGTTGACGTACTCACAACGTGCTCTGTGCACATTCTTGGCAACTTGGTTCCTGAATTGTCGGTAGGCTGTCCAAGCTGTGGAGCAAGACTGGCTGTGTGCCTTCTTGAATAGGCTATCTCTCTTCCTCATCTGGCGTTTCAAAGGAGGAGTAATCCAAGGAAGATGTTTCCTTCCTTTGCTCATTTTGGAAGGAATAAGCTCAGACAAACACGTACTGTTCAAGAAGTTGACAATGATGGACCAGTTTGTCTCCACTGATCTTCTTTCTGGATCTGATTGGAGGAATTCCGTCGCAAATTCGGCTGCTGCATCTCTCAGTTGCTGTTCGTCAGCTTTGTGGAACTGGTAGATCTTCCTCAGGGGCTTGACAGAGATCTTTGGATTTGCAGCAAGAGTAAAAGTGACGATGTTGTGGTCTGATATCCCAGACTTTACGCACACATTCTCAACCAGGGCGGGATTTGACGTCACAACTAGATCCAGGATGTTGTTGGATGAAGGTCGGGTGACTTCCCTGACTGTTTGAGACAAGGAGTTGTACAAAAGGATATCCAACAGCTTCTGGTGACAAGTATAAGTGGCTGGCTTTGTAGTCGACTGGTCATCCCAGTTGATGTCTGGGTGATTAAAGTCGCCGGCTATCAAGATGTTAGGGTGGCTGCGCCGGTGCCTTGTCATAATCTTGGACAATGACTGGTGCAAGCCTTCAAGACCTTGTTGTCTGTTGTTGGGGGGGGGGGCAGTAGTAGCTACCAATATACAGTGGCTTGGCATTTGCAAGTTGCACGTTGCACCACTGTATCTCACAGTCTGAGTCAAACTCTGGACATTCAGTGACAATTAGCGTGTCGATGATTGCTATGAAAACACCACCTCCATGGATGTTTCTGTCCTTACGGTAGATTGAGTAATTGCTTGGGAAGATTGAGTATGATGATAAGCTGTCATCCAGTTTTGATTCACAACCAAAAACAAAATCAGGAGTGTGGTGAGCAATAGCTGCATGGAAGCTTGATTTTTTAGCATTCCCCTTAAGACCATTGCAGTTTACAACCATCACTTTAAATGCCTTTTTGCGATTTCTTGATGGAGGGTGAAATCGTGGTTGACGACGTCCCCCAGGGCTCGATGTAGGCGTAGAGGTTAGAGGGTTGATGGAGGGAAGGATTTCTTCATTACTAATGTGATATTGGTGTCCCATTTTTACCTTACCTTTTCTCATTTTGACTCGAATCCTGTTTTATATCTGACCCAGTCTTTGTGTGCGAGCTCCTGATTAAGTGTTTCGGGTTTTGAAGTACCAGCATCCCGACATTGACATTCTTGTTTGTTTTAGTAACTATCTTTTAGAACCCAACATTTTAAAAAAGGACCTAATTTTTTGGTTATAAATTTTGATTTGTTATACACATATGCAAAGTTTAAACCGATAAATTATTTAAAGAATACCAGTCCAACAGTTCTGATGGAGATGAGTAACCACCACTACATGAATCCAACATATAGGAAAAACTGGTCACCTTGACTGTGCGGAAATATGTACATATTAAAGCACACTTGCAGGGCCTGCATTTTCTTCTTCTAAATTCAGAATGTTTTTCTTTGTAATTATCTTGTTTTTCTAAATTCTGAATGATTTAAAAACCTGCAAAAAGTTTTACAAATATATTTAGTGATTCAAACAAACAATACACACTTCCTTATGCTGTTGCTGATGAAACAAATTTTTCTTGCAACTTATTACCATGAATTAGTTGAAAATCACCAATTTACATTATCCCATATCCCATAAACACCTTTATGACCGAGAGTTAATCACCATGACTTTTGAATTCATTCTTGTAAATTTTGATTATGAACACTACAAAAAGAAAAATGATATCAGTCATAAAAACAAATAGAAGCACAAAGCAGAAATGAATGTTCATAATAGAAGTAGATCTATAATATATTATTTTTTATTTAATGCATGCAGTATTTTTCAAGATAATATTACAACAAACTTTAAAAGTAGACAATTGGTATTCCATAGTACATCGTAATGATGATAATATAACTTTAACACTTTTAACAGTCTGGAACTCTAGATTGTACCTATCTTTTGCTATATCCAACTTAACTACAATGAACTATGCTTCCTTCAGACCTAAATCATTTATATCATACATGTACATGTTTCAAATCTGGTTAGCGACACTATATGCTGATTTGATCACAATGCTATTCAATAGCTACTGTATTGTAAATGCATGTTAATCATGACTGTCATAATAGACCGGTTTCCTATAACAAATTCAAATGTTATGCTTTTTTTAAAAACAAAGGTTGTTCTTGACAACCTGAAAGTTTGCCAGAGGCTTGTCAAACATAGCAACAAGTAATATATGCAGACTGGATTCTCAGTATTGTAAATCATTTATCAATAACGGGTTATGGAATACCTCATCACTAGGTCCCCAGGGAAAAAAACATCCCTGATAAATTTGAATATGTTAGTAAACCGGTCTGTTCATGATACACATCATAGCGCACTGAAGTGAGTCGTCTATGTTGTGTATGTGTATGGTTACATTTCACACATCATAGCGCACTGAAGTGAGTCGTCTATGTTGTGTATGTGTATGGTTACATTTCACACATCATAGCGCACTGAAGTGAGTCGTCTATGTTGTGTATGTGTATGGTTACATTTCACACATCATAGCGCACTGAAGTGAGTCGTCTATGTTGTGTATGTGTATGGTTACATTTCACACATCATAGCGCACTGAAGTGAGTCGTCTATGTTGTGACGGAATGCATAATATAAATTTACCATTTTTACCAGTAAACAAAATGGCATTACAAGTTGCATTTTTTTAACATTATGTCTGTTCTGTCATTGATAAGGATGCACATAATTATACAGTATCAAAGTGACATTATTCTTTAAAGCCCCACTGCACTACTTGTAGCTACTTGTGCCTAACAGCCAACATGATGCCCTTTTTCTTATGTTAATTGAGAGCTGATTTGATGAGGTAACCACCTGCCAGTGACCTTGCAGGGAGGTATAATCCCTCCATGCCAAACTAGTGCAGACGGATTTAAATGAGTCAAAACATGACAATTAAAAAAATAATGATTAGTCTTTAGATATATATCACATAATGAATTGCACATTCAACATCAAACAAATAATGGATTCACTAACAGCACTTCTCATTTAAACATGTTCATATAATGCACGAATAATCTTTGAAGTCTATATGTATTGTTATAGATAACATTATCAGAGTCAATTGAACATAACACACATTTTTAGTTGTTGTTTTTTCTACCAAACCAGGTAGTAGCAGACAGGGCATTGAACAAACAATTACAAAATTGAACCACTGAATTAAAACTCAACACATGCTGGATTCAAACAAAATTATTATTATTTTGTTTTACCCCTTTACTTTACATACAATTGGTAGACTAATGAATAGGTTTTGCAAGTAGAACATTCACTTGACATTTCAAATTGACTTTCTTTGATAAAATTTGTTAATATCATTATTATCATTACAATTATAATATTAATATTATTGTTATTATATTATTACTATTATTATTATTAACATAATATTATTGTTATTATTGATATTATTATTATTATTATAATTATCATTGTTATTAATACAGACATTCAGTCTATTTTGTATATTGCTTACCGGTACTAATTTCTTTAACAGTCATTTCAGATATGCACATATAAAAAAAAAAAGAAGTACTAGTCTCAGAAAAATATTGCACCAAAATGATTTTTTTTTTCAAATCGAGAAAATATCGGAAAAATCATTTCTATTTTGTTTTAAACATCGACAGTACCCTTTAAATCTAATCTTTTATTTGCCTTTCAATTTCCTGACATAATAGTTGTCAAAGCTTTGCCTGTGCAATCTTCATACATGTATATCAAAAGTACTGTTCAATACTCTTCTTTTTGTCTCAACAAAAAGCAGAGCAATTTTCTACCATCTACTATACACAAAATTTGAGTGATTGGATTAAATGGTATCAGGTATGTGAAAATATGGAGAGTTGAATTGCTAATCTTATTGGTCATTTCTCCAGTGGCATCTGTGGAGCTGGGCTTTGGGCCTTATTTGGTCAAAGATGGACCTTATAGGCCGGTTAAGGGCTTGGCTTGCCATTGGGATTCAGGTTAGCTTCAGGATTAGGGACATAGGGTAGGGGATGAAGTTAGGGATTCAGTCAGTGTAAACCAAAAAACGTGAAACAATATGCTACTGGAATCCTGAAGCTGAGTTGCCTTACACTTCTAGGGCGATCTAGTGCAAATGTGATAATACATCTCTATAATGGAATGTTTATACTGTGGAACTTAGTACATGTATTATCATGGTAATTTGCACTGTCAACATCCAGACGAATCTTCCTGTTAATGGCCCTCAGTCGACCCTGCAGCATCTCCCGCTGTCCTGGCTGCGGTAAGTTCCTCGTATTCCTGACGGCTAGCTGCCAGCAACGCCCTCAGCTTAACATTCAGGTCATCATTCTTCTGATCCAGTTGGTCCAGGCAGGAATCAATTTGGTCTAAGGTCCGATCTAGGGCTGAGTAATCTGTTGAAAGACAAGGACAAAGTTATGGCGTAGTCTACACTCTTCAAAACATAAGTCATAACCAAACAAATCAGGACATTCCAGACTCCTGGGGATGTTTCACAAAGATCCTAAGTTAAACTTTAAAATTATGGAAAGCCGTTGTAAAAGTTATTGTATAAAGCATAAAATGTTGATTCAAATCATTCATATTTTCTATTATCAAGGATATTTCATGTTCTTGATGTGAAACAGCCCCCTGGACTCTGTTTTTCTTTTTTCTTTTTTCTTTCTTGCCCTTCACCTTTCCTGTCCTATCATGTTGTATTCTAGGTTTGTGTGGTACAACTGTACAATTCAAATAAAAACAAATCATAAATAGCCCCCCCCCCCCAAAAAAAAGGAAAATAAAAGAGGTTGAGGCTGGAAGTTCAAGCACCCCCCCCCCCCCCCCCCCCCCCCAATTTGCTTACACCTTAAGAGATATGGGAAACTTGAATCGAATAATCATCATCAATAAAATCAATAAAAACTCACTAAAAAACGAATGCACAACTGTTCATAATTAGTTCAACAAATTTCAAAGTAAGTGACATGCCCAATTACAGGCTGCATCGCACCAAAATCACTCTCCAGGTAACCTGACATGGACTTGTTTGATTTCAAAATAAAAAGTGATATAAATTTAGGTATAAGGCACTGGTCTTTTATGTACCAAATATGTCCCCAAGAGGGTCAAAATAAAATTATGTTAACATACTTCAAACATGTATTTTTAGGATAGGAACTATTCAATATTTTTGAGAAATGCAAATTTTGGAGCTTAATCTATCTCCTTTTTTATTCACCAGATATGATTACTACAGTATGAGTTCTTACAATTTTATTGTGAACTATAGCATATCTGGACAAGGAATGAAAGGTGCAACACAATTGGCAGGTGAATGAGTTGCATGGCGTGCTCTCGTGAAGACCACAGCAGCGTTTTACAGCGCCACCTGAAGTTGATGATGATGATAGCATATAATAATAAATAACTGATATAAAACTCATTTTCTACTACACCAACAAATATGTTGGTCTTTAAGAATATGTTTCAGAGATTATTCACGCAAATTTTTGAGTTTCTATCTTGAAAAATACAGATTTTGTATCCCTTGAAAGTGAAAATTGGCTCTTAATTTTGGTTTTGTCAAAAACAAGTTTTTATTTCTGCATCGGCGTCGGAGCTTCCTGGAGTTACCGCGAAACCTGTGAAAAAGTGTATACTAATATCAATGTTTTTCCGAAAAATACTCCAAAAATAACAAGAAAATTGACACGAAACAGGTAATAAACATTACACCTTTTAACTCATGATCTTTGTTTAAACGTTTGATGAATATTTACTTCATTTTGGGTATGTTTTAGTGGGGTATCTCCACGCCGGAGTTACGGGTCAAATTTTGGATAGGCCTCTGAACTAGCGCCCAGAAAGTACGCACTACCGCGCATGCATACTTTCTCTTCGCCATGTTGAGTCGACGATAAAACATGGAAGAATGGTCAGGGTAGGACGAAGAATCACCCCCTTTTTCCCATCAAAGTCTTCTTCCAATTATAACTTCAAGTTGCCAGGTAGATGCCCAGAGGTGTCGAGCAACCTAGTAAGTCAAAATTGTAATTACTCCCTTTGAATATTTTGAGATAATGTCGCCCAACCTGCTGTTTGAATGTTTTTTGATGCACCACCTGAAGCTCCGACGCCTTCGGAGCTTCCTGGAGTTAGTTTCACGGCAAACCACTGCACAATACAAGTGCATACCGATGGCGGGTTGCAGGCGCGCCTGTGTGAAGTTATCTACTGTATTATTAATGAGGATCTGAGACATTACGTTAGATAACTTCACACAGGCGCCCGCCCGCAACCCAGCATCGGTATGTACTTGTGTTGTGCAGCGGTTTGCTGTGAAACCTGTGAAAAAGTGTATACTAATAATAACAACGTTTATAAATCTGAAAAAATACTCCAAAAATAACAAAAAATTTGACACGAAACAGGTAAAAAACATAACGACTTTTAACCTTGTGATCTTTATTTGGACATTTAATGAATATTTACTTCATTATGGGTATGTTTTAGTAGATCTAGGATAAACTATCTCCACGCCGGAGTTACGGGTCAAATTTTTTGGATAGGTTTCTGAACAAGCGCCGTAATGTTTATTACCTGTTTCGTGTCAATTTTCTTGTTATTTTTGGAGTATTTTTCGGAAAAACATTGATATTAGTAGAGTCTATACACTTTTTCACAGGTTTCGGGGCAGGTTTCGCGGTAACTCCAGGAAGCTCCGACCTTGTACAAGCTGTAAGTATTACTTGTTCTTATTATGTATCATATTTTAGACTGTAGGTAGAAATTTAATGTATAATCAAGGTTTGGATAGGCTTCTGAACTAGCGCCAACATTACACCTTTTAACTCATGATCTTTGTTTAAACGTTTGATGAATATTTACTTCATTTTGGGTATGTTTTAGTGGGGTATAATTTTGAAGATCTATCCTCAAATTTCAGGAAAGAAATCTCACCACAGGTCCACATCTTAACTCAATAATAGTATGCAATTAAGCACAGCATGATACATGTTACGTGTTAAAACTACCTTGCTCTGAAATCTCTTCAAGAAGTTCATCTTGCTCTGATGTTGACATATCGTTTTCCTCTTCTGAATCTCCACCGACGACGGCGACATTGTTTTCTTGATTTTCTTCCTCCTCCTCTTCATTGCCCACATGTCGTTCCAAAGGCTCGGGGTGGTTCATTTCTCCATTGGCCATAATAAAGGTTAAAATTTAGTCAAACTTTGGTAATATTGCAGTTAGAAATTTCAGGCAGGTTAAGTTAAGATCAACATTACCAATGACGTGCAGTGCAGTGCAGTGTAAATCCAGTCGACAATTACAGTATAGTACTAGCAGCTAATCGAACGAGTGGGACTGAAACAAATTGCTAGTTAGTATAGAAGATACCATTATGTGCTATAGGGGTGTTAATGTTTTCTTGCCTTGGACATTCAAATTATTCCTTCAAATTTTGCGATAGTTAATACCTGTCAATATAATCAAATTTATTATTTCCAACTTAATTTTCTCTAAATTATTTAATCTGTTTATATAATTGCACAAATAGTTAAGACTTTAGTGAGATTATATCCCGTATTATATTCAATGAACCCTGGCGTTACACACACGTTTGTTGAATAGAACAAGCCCGCTTTGTATTTGTGCCTGTGTCATATTTATCGAACTGTAAGTAGAATCTCGCTAAATCTTCACTTCTCATCCTCTAAATAGAATGAAAACATAATTTTGTACAAGCTGTAGTATTACTTGTTCTTATTATGTATCATATTTTAGACTGTAGGTAGAAATTTAACGTATAATCAAGGTTAATTAATGTCGAATGTCTGTTCCGAATGCGCTAGAGTTGAGAGAGCTGGACAACGTAGAATCTACGTGTAAATGATATCGGGATCAGAAAGCCGGAAAACGAAAAGGGTCGCTTGCTAGGTCAATTTACGTAGCAAATACGTGACACAATACGTGCTTTGTCGTTGTAAGAGTAAGTGTAACCCTGTATATGTACATGCATGTTTGGCCAACATTGCCATTTGTAAATCGTAAGAGGAAAGGCATAATATAATGTAGACCGAAAGCTTCAGTCTCTATAATCGTCGGTTGTTCCACTGAGACTACGTCTGGCTCCACTAGACCTCCGGTTATAGAGACAGAACGATCGCCTATGCCAGCCTGTGTTGAACTTATTCCGCTAGATTTTAGCCGCTAGGCCCCTCCCACAAACTTGCCACGGCCGTATTGTTATGCCCCCAAAATCCCCCAAAATGTCATTTTACCTCGTTCATTTCCAATTTTAAATTAGGCCTAGATCTAGGCTACATCGGTTCCACTTACTAACTTTATTGATATAATCCGTTTAATGGTCCCTTTTAAGGAAATTATGGGTCAAAATCGACATCCATGTTGAAAATCTTGCAAGCCGTGTTAAACTCTCGCTGCCGTCAATCTCATCCCTTCTAGTCTACGCCGAAGGCAAAATGATTATGAAGGAAAAACTGTGATAACGCCATTACGAACGTGTAGATGGCGCAGTTTTTCCTTCATAATCATTTTGCCTTCGGCGTAGACTAGAAGGGATGAGATTGACGGCAGCGAGAGTTTAACACGGCTTGCAAGATTTTCAACATGGATGTCGATTTTGACCCATAATTTCCTTAAAAGGGACCATTAAACGGATTATATCAATAAAGTTAGTAAGTGGAACCGATGTATTATAGCCTAGGCCTAATTTAAAATTGGAAATGAACGAGGTAAAATGACATTTTGGGGGATTTTGGGGGCATAACAATACGGCCGTGGCAAGTTTGTGGGAGGGGCCTAGCGGCTAAAATCTAGCGGAATAAGTTCAACACAGGCTGGCATAGGCAGTCGTTCAGTCTCTATAACCGGAGGTCTAGTGGAGCCAGACGTAGTCTCAGTGGAACAACCGACGATTATAGAGACTGAAGCTTTCGGTCTAAATATAATGATAATTATCTGATCTTGACATAATTGGAGACCTGTCATTTGTAATCACTTTTTGTGTAGAATCTAGGCTAGTGCCAGAAAAACAACAAAAATGGCTGACAATGATGAGAATGAGCAAGAGCTTTTAGATTACGAGGATGAGGAAGCACAAGAGACTGCCGATGCTGGCGGAGATGCAGTGAAACAACAGAAGGAAACCAAAGCCAAGGGTTATGTGTCCATCCACAGTTCAGGATTTAGGGATTTCTTGCTCAAACCTGAGCTCCTCAGAGCCATTGTTGATTGTGGTTTTGAACATCCGTCAGAAGGTAAGTCTTTGACTTTAAGTAGGCCTAGACAGAAATAACCATCTGTAATGTGGAATTCTTTAATAAAACTGGTATTTGTTAACCTTCCCCATCCACAGAGATGCCAACCAGTACGATTAAATCGTATTTAGTACGATAATCATAGTGAAATACGATAATACGATCTCCCCTTTTTAAATATAATCGTTTTTTTTTCGTTTTTTTTACCCATATAAACCGTGGAATCGCATAGAAACCTGAACATGTAAACCCCAGCAGCCCCCACAAAAACTTTGCTTTACAATTTTCTCTTTAAATTTTAATGAAAGAGCAAACATTTTACTTGACTTGTAGGTCTACTTTAAAATACCAGTAAAACATTTTTCTGCAATTTTACTGGTCCGAGGCCAATGGCCCATTGGTAGTGTCAAGTTTTCGTGAAAATCAGATTTTGTGTCAAGAGGTTGGTATCTTGGCATACACAGACTGTAACTCTTGCCGCACGCACACACAAGGAGTTAAACTAGCCGGATTCCGGCGAAAGTTTGCCTTCTGTTTTTTGGCTTTATCAGACTCAACAGTTTGATTTATAAAAACAAGTTGACTGTAAAGAAAGTAGATCTAATTTACATACAGTGTATACTTTTTTGGGGGGGTTAGCTTGTTTTTAGCTTCTGTGCATAGATCTATAAACATTTTGAAAATAAAATCCTTGCTTCATTCTGTTTTCTTTTAATTCTTCCAGTTCAGCACGAATGCATTCCCCAAGCAATTCTGGGTATGGATGTCTTGTGCCAAGCTAAAAGTGGTATGGGTAAAACAGCAGTGTTTGTACTGGCTACCCTTCAGCAGTTAGATCCAGTTGATGGCCAGGTAAGTCTTACAAACAATAAATAGCTTGAATTGGATAGACAATGAAAAGTTATCAAGCAATGCATATTATTAATAATTTTAAGGGATGTACATCTGTAAGGATTCTTGAAATACAATGGCTCATATTGTACATTAAAGGGCACAAGTTCATTTGTATGGTTGTCAGTAGATTGTGACGTAGTTGCGGATAACTCTCCCGTTAGACCCTCCCAAGTCATACATTTTTTAAAAATGAAGAACTTGTGCTTACAATTTTCAATAATTCTTTCTCGCTTTTTTGTCCGATCTTATTGAAACTTTCACCAGTGTACTTCTCTGATTTTTCTGCTTTTCCTCTAGAGCAACCCTGATAATTTCCTGATTTAAACGGTTTTTTTTAAATATTTTTTTATCATGATTCTTTTTCTTCCCAAAATGGATAGGCCCTGAGATCGATGTTAATCAAGTTTAAAATAAGGGGGTGGGGAGGTACAAAGCGCTCGGCATCATGCTTCACTCTCATTTCTAAAACCTTTTTTCAAAACTCTCATTATCACCCCTGAGTAGTTTGATATCAAGTTTGGATTTCCCTTTAAAAAGAGGATCCCTATTCTGCTGGTAATCAAAAGAATTAACTCAGTCTGTTATTTACATGTAGGTCCTGTGAATTAAAATGTTTAATTATTTTTTCATACTCCATTCCGCTTTCGTCAGGTTTCTGTACTTGTCATGTGCCACACTCGTGAGCTCGCTTTCCAGATCGCCAAGGAATATGAAAGGTTCAGCAAGTACATGCCAACCGTCAAGGTCGGTGTGTTCTTTGGAGGCCTGAGCATCAAGAAGGATGAGCAGACCATCAAGACCAACTGCCCTCATATCGTAGTAGGGACCCCCGGAAGGACGCTGGCCCTAGGTCGTCAGAAGATCCTCAACCTCAAGCATGTGAAGCACTTCATCCTGGACGAATGTGACAAGATGCTGGAACAGCTAGGTGAGTAGAAACCACTTAATCTTAAATGAGTTTACATGAGTGAATCATAATAGGTGGGGAGGGAGAGGGGTGGGGGGCATTCATACTTTGAGTTTTGAAAGGCTGAAAATCTGGCCATAGGTGGAATCGGCTTTATTGAGCTTTTCTAGCAAGACTATGCTTTAATTGTTAGACACTATGCCAGAGTAGTATCAAGCATTATTTGTTTAGAAACTCTGCATAATAATTAAATGCACAAGAGGTTAGAACTTCCACCATTTAAAAAAAAAAAATTTAATTATGATTTTTTTTTGGCACTTATCAGTATTAATATCTGTGAATTAAATGAGAAATATCGTCTGCTAACTTTAGCGTGAAGTAATTCCACTATGTTAAAAGAGAAATTAAGAGAAGCGAAAGATTGTTTCAGCATATGGATCGCTGTAACCAATGCGTGGATATTGACACATCCAAATCCAATCCAAATGGCGAAAAATCAGCAAAAGAAGACCAAGAAATGGTCTCGGAAGTATAAGACCGAATACAGTATCAAGTACCCGTGTATTCGGAAGTCTGAAAGGAATTCATTATGCATTTTGTCTAATTTGTATGTTATTTTAAAACAAAGTGGGAATTATTTAACTAAATACACATGTAAAATGCTTCAAAATAAAGCTCAGATTGCACCAGAGAGCATCTAGAACCCCAGAGCTTCCAGGACCCCGGCCGCACGGGTCGGGCGCTATGCGCTCAAGATGTGCGCTATGCACACATTATTTGGTGTCGGTTACAAATCCTCCCTATTTCTGTTTTACAAAAGTTGGCATCTCTGGATATCCATAATATCTCACAGAAATAAGGATATTTGAAATAATCTGTGTAACTCCTTTTTTTTTGTCTGCATTTGTTTTGGTAGACATGAGACGAGATGTCCAGGAGATCTTCCGCATGACACCCCATGAGAAGCAAGTCATGATGTTCAGTGCTACCCTAAGCAAGGAAGTGCGACCTGTCTGCAAGAAATTTATGCAAGATGTAAATATGTCACCTCTCCTCTACTCCTCTCTCACATCTACACTTCACTTGCCAAGAGCATCGGAGCTTCTCTCCGACCTGCACCCCTCTTCTCCTGCAGGCTGAGCAGCCAGCCATCCTTCACAACTGATGGTGGTCTTTACTGCTTCATGTTTGAGGAGTGGTTTACTTGTCGGGCTGTTACAGCTAATCTTCAATCAAGCATTGATGGAAGGCACTTGCGATTAAGACATTGGTACCATCAACCATTGCCGTGCCTGTTCGGTTGCAATTTTAGTGGGCCTTGACCCTTTTAGGTAAAAGTAGAGATCTTTATATCTTCACGCCACATCTTCAGTATGTAATTGGTTGTCAGCCATCAGATAGTCGACCGTCTTCCATTGTAAAAGCCAGCTGATTTCTAATCGAGCATTTATGGTAGGAGATCGCATGTGAGGCAATAGTACCATCAACCATTGCCTCACCATTCCATTGCAATTCTATTGGGCCTCTCCTGCATTTTTTCCCAGCGTAAATACTTTGGTGTCATTTTAGGGAGCGTGTTCACTTGTCAAAGTCTGAAAATCTTAATCTTTAATCTTGCATTGACGATGATCACTTATGATTGAAGCAATGGTACCATAAACCATTGTCCCATCGGTTCTGTCAAAGTCCTACTACTGGAAAGCAAGCTTTTCTTCGTTGATGTAAAGAGATTGTGAATAGGGCAGTGGTACCTTTCATCCCTGTCTCACTGTACCCTTGTAATACGAGTACGCCTTCTCGCCCATTGAGATTTTTATATTGTCCCATCCCATTTATTATATGTTAAGGCATTTTTTGCCATTAATTGACTCTTTATTAATGTTTTGGCTAGTCAACAAAATTGATAGAATCAACTAGAGTCTTGGATTGTCTATTAGCTGTCTGGTGTTTGAAATTGAGGGGAAGGGTCACTCTGGGGTTTCTATGAAAACAAAAGAATTATTAGGTTAGCAGTAAATATTCAGGGTTAAAATTATTTCAGGAGTTATATCAGCACCACCAGCTGTTACTATTCGCAAAATGGAGAGTACATGAGATCTTTAAGGTCCTGTTCGGAGTAGTTTTCAAATCAAGAAAGCACAACAGGCATCATTTTGTGATGGCACCTTTGATCATAATGAAGAGGGGAAAATCTTTATCTGAGCTTCGGTTTATTTGCAAGTTAGGGTCATCGCTAGCTGTTGCCTTTTCTAAAACAGGTTTTAAAAAATTTTGCGTTGAGATTTTTTTTTTAAATATGCTTCTTACAACATCCAGTATGATCAATACAAATGGAGTTTGCGTTTACCGATATCAGCAATCGTGAAATTTCTTCGACTTCTTTTTTTGTTTTTTCCGCGATTATTTCACCATCTGAAATAATCAATCTTGTCTTCACTCTGGATACAGTAGGTAAAGTATAACGTCGCTTCGATGAAGAAAAATGTCATCAGCAAGCCATGTGATAAATCATGATGGACTCTTATTTGCGTTTTGTTTTTTGCGATCACACACATTGTAATGGACTTTGGTTATTTCACCATCTGAAATGACTCCAGCAACCTTGTGAATCATCAAGCCGGGAACGACCAACAGTCGTGTTTTCATCGACTCCAAAATCATAGAAATAAGGGAGGAATATGTAGCCAAATAGAAGTCATATCATGAAGAGTGAAATGGCACTGGCAACTGTGTTGCTGTTGTACTTGTAGGTTATATAATAGATTTTTGCAGTTGTACAAGCTAGACAAGAAGTAGTAAACATTCATGGTAAAAATAGTGCATTTGGGATTGTTTTTTGACTTTTTGATGTAGGTTACTTTAATTGAAAATACATGCATCATATTTTACTAAAGCAGTGAGTGGCAATTATGATCATGTCTTGAGTACCTGACTTTTATTCACAGTACACATACCAGCAGCAGAAACAAGGCGTTGTTACAAAATTGTGTCCTGTGCACCAAACAGTTTATTAACCTTTGGCTATGGGAGCCGGGTGGTCACTGTGATAACTCTATGGGAATGAGTGAATTCAGTAGTCAACGGGTTAAGAGATCAAGCTACATAACAGTTCAATTTATTAACTGCAATTTATGCTTTTGAGGTATTATGTAATGGTTCAAAGAGTCTTATGGATAATATTGTATAACCTACATCTGTAGAAAAATCTATTTTTATATAGTGTAGGTATGAAGACTCTTTTGTATGGTAAAGTTAAATGCGATATTTTAATATCTCAACCAATAATAAGTTGTTTGGGTTGATATTTGCAAAGAATCCCTGTATTTTTACTGCCAGAAGCAGTCGGATGAGATGGTTTTAGTTGCTTTCAATTAAGACTTCATTGCAATTAACATTTTGGATATGGATTATAGGATATAATCACTTGATAAAAATTTATAAATAGTAGTAGGAAGTTTCTTCTCAATTGACAAGTGTAAATCAGAGAAAATGTTTCATGATTTCATTTACTTGCATCTACTATAATAAGTCCCATGGAAAGTATGAAGAATATCCTTTCCCTGCAAAAAAATGTTTTAAACATCTGCAGGGTTGGACAATAACCAAACAATATTTTGACCTGTTTATAACTTGCTATTAGAAAGGGCAGTTTCTAGACTGTTGTATAATTTGTAAAGCACACTTTTGTCAGCTGCATTCCTCTGTTTGATTGACTAAAATGATCTGGTCGAGAGCGTTTAAAAATAATTGTGGCATCATACGGAGATAGTGAAGCAAGCCACTCGCCATTGATATTGATCTTTCAAGCCCTCAGTCCACAATGTGATGACCGGTATTCACAACCTTCCGTGTAAAAAATAAAATAGTTGCAGCGATACTCGATGGTCTCTATCGGTGGAGAATGACTAGGACAACCAACGATGGATCAAATGGACTCTAGGACAGCGCTTCAGTCAGGATGTCCATCTCCAGGCAAGTGAGTCTGTGTGGGGACATCAGTTAGGCTACAGGACTGGTGCGGTGGCCGTGCTACGTGCTCTGTGGAGGAGACGAAGCGCTGCCAAGCCTACCCTACCCTGCGCGCCACATCGCAGTTTGGTCTCACCCTGCTCGGCTCTGCTCTGCTCGGCAAACGCTTTCTCTGTGGTAGACTGGATTGAGGAAGTTGATGAACATCGCTTCAGCAACAGACTCCACTTTGTATTCAGTGTGGTGGTATTGGGCTAATAAAGGGTGTGAAGTTTCATTGGGTTGGGTCTGGTTGGATAGGGGGAATGAAATGAAATGTAAAAAATTGAGACTAACATAATAGGGGCTTAACCATTTATCCTTGTCAAATTATCAGGCATATTATGATTCACCTAATTTTAAAGTCTTATTGAAATACACCCTGAAACAGAATTTCTTTCAAAACTTTTTAAAGAAAATACTCTAAAAACCTGAAATTGCATAATTGTAGTGACACACATTGATTTGGTGGGATCACCCAAATCATAAATTAATATTTCATTAATATTAATCTTTAGGAGAGAGGGAAAGTGTCCGTATAGTTCAAATTAATGCTTTATAAGATCATATAAACTTAGAGATCTCCAAGATGTGGAAGTGATTAGTAAATGTGATGAACTTTGTGTTGCATGTATCCCGCCAAAACGTGTATCTTCCTCTATCTATAGCCGATGGAGGTGTACGTTGATGATGAGACTAAGCTGACACTCCATGGTCTTCAACAGTACTATGTGAAGCTCAAGGACAACGAGAAGAACAGGAAATTATTTGATTTATTGGATGTCTTGGAGTTCAACCAGGTAAATTACAAATATAGCAGGATTAGATATGATCTAGCATTTTCATTGAGCATTGTAACTATTGTTATTTAAAAGAAAATAACAAATTATAGGAAAGAAGTGTTATGCCAAAGTTTTGAAGCAAGGTGTGATGCAAAACTAAGAGAGTCATCTATGTGAAATAGCAAAGTTGAGACCATACAGAGAAAAGACGATCATTTTAGATGAGACTTATTAATTAATTAAATCTTTGGTGGTTGCATTTGACTTGTATGGTCAGCCTACAGGTGTGTTGCAAGAAAATTGCCTCCCGTGCAGGGAGGTCTAATCCCTGAGCTCTATAGGGTTGGCTGATGGAAAACCAGCAACTAAAGATGATATGTTCTCCTAGCAGAATATACAATACCTATTTGAATGATCCATCGACTTGTACATGAAATAACTTTCACCATTCTTTTTCTTTCTTTCTAGGTTGTCATCTTTGTAAAGAGTGTACAACGATGCATAGCCCTCTGTCAGCTTTTGGTAGAGCAGAACTTCCCTGCCATCGGTATCCATAGAGCCATGCAACAAGATGAAAGGTGAGTAATCAGGAAGAATTTTGAGAAAAGGATCGTCGGTTGACCAAGGCCATGTTTTATTACAACCGTTATCTGTAACAATTACAATGAAACCTGAATATGAAGATGACGCCCCATTAAATAGATTGACTTGTAATAAAGCTTGTTATAAATAACCTGAGATAGAAGTAGAAAGAAGGCTTAATCACCAATGTATAGAACGACTAGCAAGCAGGTAAGTAAGCATGCAAGTAGACAATGTATGTTAGTTTAAAAACCTTATGGAGCCAAGATTATAATCTGTCTTTAATACAGATAGAAATCATAAAATCAGTATAACTAATAATGGTAATCTTAATTTTCACTCAATTCTTGTCCGTCTAGATTGGCGAGGTATCAAGCTTTCAAGACCTTCCAGAAGCGTATCCTCGTTGCAACTAATCTCTTTGGGCGTGGCATGGATATCGAGAGAGTCAACATTGTCTTCAACTATGATATGCCAGAGGACTCGGACACTTACCTCCATAGAGTAAGTTACAAATCATTTTTTGGGGGGTTGTTGGCCATCAAGGGTGTTTTTTGACAGTGTTATGGGGGTTCATGACATTAATATACAATAAATCGAGAAGTCACAAGAAGATTTAATATCTTACTCTCCACCCATTACCATTTAAAATCTTGAATTGGGGTTGGACTTCTTTCTCAGCTTAAAATGGTTTTGTAACTTTAAAATTTGACCAGAATAATGTTAATCTGTAAATGGCTCCAACACCGTAGATGGTTCAAGTGCTTATATGCTGCCCTAGAGTTCATTGATGAACTACATTACAAACAGTTTTAATAAAGTAACCAATAGGGAGGTGGATGCTCAGAATTAACCTCAGTGTCATTTTGTCAGGTGTAAATTACATTTTGTTTGACAGCCTACAGGAAATCTTTGCTTGATGTAAATGGTGTAGACAGTTTTGATCAGAAATTCTATTTATTTGAGTATAACAAGACAAAGTTTAACATAATGGAGTAAAGGAAGTATAAAATAACCAAAGCGATTTAGAAAAAATTCCTCTATCAAGTCACTTTCCACTCATTCTTTGATGAATGTGTCTTGTATTGTAGGTTGCTCGAGCTGGCCGTTTCGGCACCAAGGGTTTGGCTGTCACGTTTGTCTCTGACGAGGAAGATGCCAAGACCCTAAACGATGTGCAAGATCGATTTGAAGTCAACATCGGCGAACTGCCAGAAGAGATCGACATTGCCTCATACAGTAAGTCAAACACTGGCTGACATAGCTAGTTTTTGTCAGTCATTTTTTTTCTCACCTCAAATTTTTGCTACTGAAATAAATAAGACTTGTGGTTTGATAAAAGATGGTTCCACTGTATTTGTTCTGAGATATATTAACAAATGGTAATGATGATTACCTCTATTATAGCACTGTGAATAGCCTTCCACTTTACTGCAAATTCTTTCAAAACTTCTTGTCAAATTAATTACTTCACCAGCGTTTGTTGATAATTTGCATTTGAAAGTACTTTAAACCTGATAATCAATGTGAAGAATTTACACACATTACCAATTCCCTCCTATATCTTTGTAATGCATGTTCACTCAAAAGTCTAATCAAACTTTAAGTCCTAATTTTCTCTCATTGTGCTGGTGAAGAGGAATTCCAATCAAAGATGGATGCTAAAGTACCAGCATTTCAATTCTAAATTTGTCTTTGTCTTTAAAACCATTGAAAATTTAAAATGCATTTTGGGATGTCATTTTACCAGTCTTGTCTATATCTTTCTCTTCTCTGCAGTCGAACAAGCTTGAGCCGGACACTGGCACACAGGAGGTCATCTTTACGAGTGCTATTCTATATTGTTGTACATAAATATTTGTATTTTCCCTGTCAGGTGTTGCATCTGTAAAATAATGAAAATTCCAATAATTGTAGTGATGCCAACAGGGTTTCTTTTTTCTTTTCTTTTTTTTGTAATTTTTGAGTACAGTTTGTTTGATATAATATTGTTTTGTTTCATATGGTAGTGCCTGAAAGCTGAGAGTTTTAAGATCAGTTTGCTACGTCACATAATTATTACAAAGGAGAGTACCTGACTGCTAGTAAATGTTCGAGCGGAATGTGTGCATTTCTCTGATCCATGCACTCTTTTTTTAAATGACCACTTTACAACTTGAACATGATTGTTGACTTCTAACCAAGATTGTGAAGGAGATTATGTTGTATCTGAAATTTATGAATGAAATAGAAATATCTATCTGTGTTGTTTTCATGAAGGAAATGTTTTAAAGAGTTGAATATAAGGAGGTCATGAGAACTATGCATTTTCTGAAGAATAATGTAATCTTTTATGTGTACAGGTACATGGAAATCTTTTTAGACTGGAACATGATTTGGTACATGGTGAAATAGAATGTGAATATTTAAGTGATGGAATTCTCCATGGAACATTCTCGCTAGGCCACAAGTTTATATGTCCTCTGACTCTCTATCCTAATCTCTAATAAATTGTAAATTTGGAAAGCAATCTTTAAGCATTTATTTTTTTCTACTTAAATGTGTGAGATATTGCTGTAGCACTACAACCTCTGAAGAATTGAGAATTTGGAAAACAGTTCATAAACATTTATTTTATAGTTTGGTATCTGTAGCTATTACTTGCACACAGCAGCCTGTAAAGAGTGAATGTTGCTAAAGGTTTCAAACAGGATTTTGCAAGGTTGATGTTTGAAGATATTATTACCACACTACAACCAAAGCTTGGAAATATTAACATTGTATATGACTAATATGAGTATATGTTGTATATCTGTTGAGCATTTGCACACTGCATGACCGAAGTGAAGCCACAAGGGAGTTTTCTTGCACCTACATGTATTCTATTTCTGATCAAAACTAGAGTGTTTTACTATGTCACTAAAATTTGGCTCAGCTTTCAGCTTTCCACCAAGTCTCAATGCAGAAGAGAAATATTATTACCTGGAACATGACTGCCAAAGAGTACTAGCTATTCATTGTGCTTTGGCATAACATAGCTCCTATTTAAATGAACAACTGCAGTTCCTTAGTAATAAGAAGTTACAATGATAAAACAAATATGTTTTACCATATCTAGAAACGATGACCTTGGAAGATTATTTACTACTGTCTGCTTTTATTAAACATATATGGCTTTCATGGTATGCCTCTTGTGTAATAACAGATCAATCTCAGACTCTCTTACATGGTACATTAGATGTATCTAAGGTCATTGCAGAAAGAACTATGTGTATCGCTCCTGTAGACAGAATTTTTTTTAAATTTGTGTCTTTGGGTATTTGCTTAATTTAATGTGTAAGAAGAGACGGTCATTTTCGTAATAAAGTATTGTTTAAACTTTTACACCTGTTATCTGAATTGCACTTTGTTGTTGTGGCATTGCTACTGTTTTAGATGTGAAGAGCGCATACCCATTTACAATTTTGGTGTAGCCCAGTATGCTATTTGTACCTGTGCTTTGTATTCCTTGGAAGAGAAGGTCGAGTTCTGGGAAGAGGTGAAAAATAATTTGTGAGCGTTATCATTCTTATTATGCAAGTGTGGAAGAACATCAGATAAGACATGTTCCCTGAAAAGCATGGCTCTTCAAATGCCTTTATATTCTAAATATGTCATGTAACATCGTAAAACTCGGGGTAGGATTTTTACGCCACGTTTTCGTGTAGTCCCATATACATCTTTCTGTGTACAGTGTTTGTAACTTTACCAAGACTTGGCTAAATTTTGATGATTCCAGAACCTTGCAATACACACAAATTCTTATATGCTAGATGATCAACCTTTTCTGGTCGAATCCACACCATTTCTTTCACAATGCAATCCCATGACCAGAACTCAACTTCATCTTTAACTTTAACTTCTACTTTTTCACATTTTGTAGTATGTACATTGGATTGATATGCTGATAAGACTGATATTGTTTCTTAAATCCATTGAAATACATGTAGTTTAAATTACCTTCCCATGTTAACCCATCCCGACTGGGGGGGGGGGGGGGGTGTCCCTGTCCCTATTCCGATGTACTGCTCATTCCATGGCTGCTAAATTATACCAAATATGGTGTAATTTTTAAGATAAAATAAACACACTTTTTAATGATACTAAACAAAGTGATTATTATGCCATGGCAAGAGGGACAACAAAAAATTTGAGGGGGTATATAAACCCCTCAAAAAAGTTTGGAATCTCGAATAGATGTACGGTAATCGATCATACCGAGATTCCAAACTTTTTTTTGAGGGGATTAACCCCTCCAAAAACGTCTTGTCAGGGCATTGCATGAAAGTGGGTTTAATCATTTAATGAATGAAACCCAGTTATGATTTTTAACCCTTACTGTACTGGGGGGGGGGGGGGGGCCTGGGGGCCCCCTCGACATTTTCGGAGATCGCGCCGCAACCGCTTGGAATTTTGAATTGTTGTTTCATGACTTTTTTCCCTCAAGTCTTGCGCACATTTTGATACCATTTTCGTCAAAATCGGATATACCTGTAAGGTGTTACATAACAATTAGTATGCGCATGTCATCAAAAAAGTGCTATAATTGCATATATTCATGTACAAACAGAAATGTGAAGATATGAATTGATATCAAATTGCTTTTATATGTTTCTCAGAGTAACTTGATGTATTCCAGAAGAAAAAGAATACATTAGAAATAAAACAATAGATATAATAAGAAATAAAAAACAATAAAATACATAAGAAAATAAATAGTTGAAAATCGCATCAAATTTGCATAAATTATCATTATTAATTACATCAAATAACTATTTTGTGTTAGAAAAGATGTTTCATATGAATAATGAGTTAAAACATTCAAAAAGAGGAGTCTGACAATTTTTGTAATGATCCTAGTTCCCTAAATATAGTTCCAGATTTCATATTCATGAATGCGTGATTTGCGTATTCATAAATTATGCAAATTAACCTATGTATTTTCAAATATCATAAAAATAAGGAAACCTCATGAATTTGAGATGAAGGAAACATTTATTCAATACATTTTCAAGATTCTTCACAAGTCTACGGTCAAATTTGTAGAGTTTTCTGTAAAATGCATAAAATTAGCATTTTGCATAATTAATTAGGCTATAACGAAAAAAATTTGCATATTAGGAAAAAACTAATTATACCGTCTTGTTCCTTGCGTAAATATCTACAAATATGCAAATTTTCACGTTTTCTCGGACATTCGACGGCCGAGATCATAGGGGGGGGGGCCTGGGAGGCCCCCCCCCCCCCCCCCCCCCCAGTCAGAGGGTGCTCAAAATAGCCCAGTACAGTAAGGGTTAAGTCATGAAATGTGCAGTAATTCCCAATCGATAGCAACAAAAATTTGAGGGATTTTTCAGCGCGTGGAAAAAAAAAGGGAGAAGTATACCCAAAATAGACGGATTCCCATTAAAAAGTTGTACCACCAGAACTACCTTTAATTATATTTCATTTTAAAGGGTAACTAACATACTGTCTAATGATATCTTATTCATAACTCTCCTACCCAGGATGACTGAGCTGTAGCCTTTTCAAAAAGTGTTATCAAAATCCTCTTGTACCAAGTTTGGGCTGAGGCAATGAATGTGAGTCAAAAGCCCTTTTATGCATTGATATTTCAGTACAAAAACAAGTGGATGCATTGATATTTCAGTACGAAAACAAGTGCTAATATATTTGCATCGGTTTTGTTCTTAAAAATAGAAAAGGTACCAGTAATGTCAATGCATCTTTCATGTAAAATGGTATAATAAGTCATTTCTGCCAAAATCTACACAGAATAACAAACTTATCATACATCCAGAATGTACCCTTTCACATGAAAAGTAGAAACAAGAAGTCATGTGGAAAAGAAATCAATTTATTCAACCCACTGTAGCAAGACACTGCAAAGTGTATCAAAACTTTGAACAAAAATTATCATCCAATGGCAATGTGTCTATCTCTTAGACTTGTCTCTTTTCAGCAAAAAGATTGTTATACATCTCCAATCTTCCTGGTGCATATGTATTATGTATATAGTTTACACTTTGGTAAATGTATACTACCGTTTACATATTGGACAACTGCTGGAGATGATGATAGAGATATATGTACAACTTAATTTTCAGCAAAAAATTCAAGAAGTGTAATGAAAAACTAAAAATGATTCATGATTCTAGTTCGAGCACTATTCTGACATAATAATAATATCTAAGTGAATGCCAACAAATCTTGAACTGCTTGTGAAAATCAATCCAAACTGTTATGGATGCAATTCCTCACTAAAAAAGTTTGCAGACAATTACAAACATTTTGGTCAACCTGTGCTTAATAACAGAACAGAAAACCTGAGTGAAGTTCCTCTATTACACTAAACAATTGCTTTTCAAACTTTCAAATTTGTGAAACATTAAATTACCTTTTTTCCACTCGAAAATATCTTATGTCCCTATCAAAGACGTCACTCCATCATGGATGCATATTCTAATGAAATATCTACACAAGTTCTGTATCAGTCTATCACTGAAGGCTCCAATTAGATTGGGTACACATTTCTCAGAAAATGACTTGAATTGAATTGAATACACAATGAAGATTTTTCACTTAATTTGGTTTGGTGAAATGTGCATGTCTGGAAGTTCCTCAATATGAATGAGTTTTGTTTTGGTTGTAAACTTGTAATCTGAGAAATTACTTTGGAGAATAAAAATTGTTGCATGATCCAAAGTAATGGTGATAATAATAATAATAATAACAATATTTATAAAGCGCAACATATCCATCTCTAGAGATGCTCAAGGCGCATACAAATAATTTAAATTAATATTCAACATATTCAACATCAATTTAACAATATGCATTAAGCATCAGGTGAGTTTTAAGCCCAGTTTTGAAAGAAGAGAGAGTGTTGGCCGTCTGAATAGAGAGAGGTAACTTATTCCACAAAGAAGGAGCTGCTGATGCAAATGCTCTATCCCCCCAATTTCTTTTGGTACGCATTTCTTTAAGTCTAATATTATGTGATGAACGCAAACCAGAACGACCTGCAGAGTGGGGTGATAGAAGGGATGAAATATATTCTGGAGCTAGATCATTTAGTGCACGTTAGGTTAGGAGTAGAATTTATAGATCACACGATGCGGCAAATGACATGATGAACAACAATAAAATACATGTGTACAGAAACTTTCATAGTATAAAGATACAGATTAAAGAGATAAAACTGCAAGACCTGAAGTGATAACATAGCATTTTGAAGCAAGCCTGAAATCCTAAGACATTTTCAACATCTTTTCCAGGACATGTGGGTATCAATTTGACCAACCAAACACAAATATAATCCCAGTGTAAACCCTTCACAGCCTGTGTAATATTATTGATTTATGAATTATGACTGTTGAAAGTTTGTTGCTATTGAAACATGGATGAATGAAAGCTAATTGTAAATAAGGTAATTATTTAAGCTCACAAGAGCCACTATAATCTACATTCCCCAATCATATTTATCTTCATACTTTCTTCAGATATTGAGTGTGCAAGACTACCCTACCTCTATTCATGATATCCATATGAAATACATTATCAATTTTATGTACATTTAGTGCATTTCCATTAAAATTCTCTGATATAACAGCTACATACAGACCCGATGGGGAAAGCCCCGTGACACATTGAATGATGGGGAAGTATAAGCCTAAGAAAGGCTGAATAATTCATTATTACATGATAGTACCGGTATATGCACATCAAAAAGAGTTTATAACACCAGATTATTTGTGTGTCCAAATCATACAATTGTGAAGAGTCCAATGACCTTTCCTACCAATCAATTTGATTGACATATCATCCACTAAGGACGTAAGATCATTAACTCTAAGTAAATTTCTACTAGATAATGTCGATCTCGCTCTACATGTATGCAGACCTTGCAAGCCTTCTTTAGATGATGTTATGTAAAATAGCACATTCATCAATAAAATCTACCTGATTAGTTATTACCATGTCAGGCAAGCCCACTGCAAGCCTTTTCATCAACAGCAATTTTAATTCGGAAGTAGGAATAATTTGCATATATTTGAACTCATTAGTAACCTGGATTATGAGAGCACATATGAGAATGATATATATGTAAATTGGGGCGGGGTCATTGAGCTCCAGCATGAGACTGAACAGATTTCTTTGTCCGTTGGTACCATGGGCCAATCTTGGTCATTCGACACATGTCATGGAAAGCATCTAGTCCCTCAATGGAACTCAGCACACCATACACTGACTGAAATCAAAACACAAACACATATAAATAAAGTGACATATATATATGAGGTGAATATACCTGAACTGTGAATTAAATTCAAGTTGATATGAACATGTACACAAATACACCGCCCTCTAAAGGTTTGGGTACAACTGTAATCAGAACTGACTTTTTACAACCATCCACATTTTATTTCTCATCAGATTTGATGTTCCCCAAGTGTTAATATTTTCTTAGTTGAAAATAATAGTTTTCTCCATCAGTAAACAAATGCTAATTGGCCGATAGTCAAAACTATTTTTTAATATTTATTAGTAATAATCAGATTTTGTAGAATGCTAAAAGGACAGAAATGTTGGCACAACTGATCAAATCAGTGGTGCCAACTTGAATGCTGATGACTACTGTTCAGTTTGATACCAAATTGTTACAGTGCCACAAATCTGATGACAAATAAAGCTGACTGTAAAAAGTCGGTTTATCCAAACTTTTAGAGGACAGGACAGAATATTTTCAGATGTGAACTTTTTTAATATGTCACATTCTCAAGAAACAAAGATTTGGACAAATCATGTTTTCACATACTGAAACAAATTACTAAAACTTAATAATTTAATTTAAATTTAACTGTATCTACCCGGAAAATGCAAGATTTTCTCTTTTTGCAAGAAAGGGAAAATCTGAAGACTATTATCTATCAATTTTTTAGCAAACCATGGAAGTCATGTACTGCTTGAAAAATAAATAACAAGAAGAATGTCCTTACACTTTATCCACATTATATTAAAATACTTGTTTCTGGGTGCATTTGGGGTATGATTTGATGGAATATCCAAAATGTATTTTTATACAGAAATATTGCCCTCCAGTTATCAATGATATCTGAAATTATAGCTTCACTCTTGTTAATCCTATTCTTATAGCTATCAACTAAAATGCTCAAAAAATGGTAGAGAAAACTTTTTATTTGACATTGTCTTACCAAGTCAGCAAGGTTGGGTTTTTCCCCTCCCAGGAAAGCCTTCTTGCCGACCACGTCCATCCATTCATTGGCTGCGTCGTAGAGAGACTCACGAGCATCAGGCTTGATGTTATACCTGAATACAGAGAAAATGATGAAGACCATCAAGCAAGTGAGAATGGATAATTTCACAGTAAAACTTACAGAATAACAGAGATTGTCTACAGTATATATTAAATGGTGGAACTTTGTTGTATCCTTCAAAAGACGCCCGTTTAAAGTGGAGGGGTATGATGAGTGGCCACTAATTTTGGATGCTTGTTTTAGGATTCTTCGAGATTTACATAGAGAGCTGATTAACCACCAGAATTTTTATATCAAACATCACTTTTGAAATCAGAAAAATTTATATAAAAAACAAATATTTGGGGATGAAAATATCACCAAAGGAGTGGAGGTCTTAATCGTAATATAACATCAGAAAATGGAATCATTTGGGGCTTAAAATTTACAAGATATTTTTTTTCTGGATCTTATATACCTGGTACTTGAAAACAGTAGTGAATAAAATATTGAACAAATGCTATTTCTTTTAATGTTGACAAACTTGACATTTTGACAACTAGTATCCAACAATAAGAGCTGGGTGTATCCAAACAGGACTGCGTAATTTAACAAAATTACATTGGCAAGTCTAACTAAACTCTAACTAAACTCCACTCAACTTACTTTCTCTTGAGTTTCATTGCAATAAAGTACATGCCAGCAGCACCAACATACTTCATGATGACCTTCTCCACCGAATTAAAGTTCCCAAGGCTGGAGATGTAGGAGAAAGCTTGGAGAGCTTCTGAGGGAGACCGGTAGATATTTGGTGGAAGGTTATGCACCAGAACATTATCCACCCACTTTCTCCACTTCATCTCAACCCTTAAAAAAAGATAATATGAGATAATGATGCTTTGAAAAACAATTCTTGACTGTTGACTTCGACAATCCAATATATCTCATTTAACTAATCCATAGACTATCATTTAAACATGATGACCTGAGCTCTTGTTTTCAGGTATCTCAACGAAAAGTTGAAAACAGAATAAAATACAACCTTTAGCATTATATTTGACTAATAACATTTGAACTTTACTGTAAAGTCTTGTGACAGCCAGTCTATGTCAAAAGACTGAAAGTAAAATGATGATTTTCCATTACTAGACAAAGTTTGTAATAACTCTCAGTCTCTCGAATTTATGGCCACCAGAGATCACACATTTTATTTTCCATTTGTTTTTTAACCATAACACTTTCTTTGTTACTAAATTGAATCATAACCTACTTGCTATTTGATTTACTTTTCATGAAACCTATCTACATAACTTGTTAACATGACCTAATTGATTTACTTCTCTGCTTTTGAGAGTCCTGGTGTTTCAAGCAGCATAATGTTGAATCTGTTGGTGAATTCTGACACCTCTTTGCCCTTCTCATTGGTGTAGGTCATCTTAGGATAATAAGACATCAGTCGGCCCAGATCCTTCTCATTGGTCACCATGAATGATGTTAGAATGCTAATGATAACAGACGAGTCATTCAGTTGCTGCAAAAAGAGAGATATAATTTTTTTTTTTACAAACAGTACCACTGCCGACAATGTAAGAAGAATAACATAAAGAGTATATTGCGTGTTTACAAAACAATTTTAAAAAAAGGTAATTTAGACTACTCTGATAAATCAGGGTGCACTTGACATAAATTTTCATTCAATGAAGAATTTCCTTTTACTCTTAAATTATAGAAATACTTTTTGACATGATTTTAATAAGTCAAACTCAAATTTAAAAAAGTAATAATCTAGAGATAAAGATGATTTTTCAGATAAACATGTAAACTAAGTTTGGCCTATGAATAATAATTAAATCTTTCTGGTATTTAAACTTCAATCTTGATGCATTTATCAACATTTTCACAGAATTTCTGGCGCTAATTCAGTAAGGTATCCAAAATATAGCCTACTAAAACAGACCAAATTTTGGTAAATAAATAATCAAATGTCCAAATAAAGATAATGATTTAAAAGGCGTTATGTTTTTTACTTGTTTCGTGTCAATTTTGTTGTATTTGGGGGAGTATTTTTTTGAAAAACATTGATTTTAGTATGCACTTTTTCAGGCTTTTTCACAGGTTTCACGCCAAACCGCAGCACAATACAAATGCATACTGTATTGATTGTGGATTGCGTGCGGGCGCACGCGCCTGTGTGAAGTTATCTTACGTAATGAGGATCTAGGACAGAAGATAATAGTTGCCAATTTAAGTATATCGAAAATGTATTAAATAAAATGGAATAGTTTTTATTACAGAGTGGTCTTATTCGTTATTACTAGGTCTATGTTGATAGGGGAGACGGAGAGAAGGAAAAAAGGAAAAGGGGGAAGAGAATATAAAAGGAAAGAACGAAGAGGAAGAAGAAGAAAAGAGGGAAACAGGTGGGGGCGAAGGGCTTTTGCTTCCTCCCCCCCCCCCCCCGCCAAAAAATAAATAAGAGAGAGAGACAAAGAGAGAGAGAGAGAAGGGAAAGGGAAAGAGAGAGAAGTGAAAGGGAAAGAGAAGATAGAGGAAAGAAAGAATAGGAAGAAGAGGAAGAAGAATAAGAAGAAAAAAGGGAAACGGGGGCGAAGGGCTCTTGCCTCCCCCCCCCCCTGCCCAAAAATACATAAGAGAGAGAGAGAGAGAGAGAGAAGGGAAAGGGAAAGAGAATATAAAAGGAAAGAAAGAAGAGGAAGAAGAAAAAAAAGGGAAACGGGGGCGAAGAGCTCTTGCCTCCTCCCCCCCGCCAAAAAATGAATGAGAGAGAGAGAGAAGGGAAAGGGAAAGGGAAAGAAAATATAAAAGGAAAGAAAGAAGAGGAAGAAGAAGAAAAGAGGGAAATGGGGGCGAAGGGCTCTTGCCTCCCCCCTCCCCCCCCCCCCCCCCCCGCCAAAAAATAAATAAGAGAGAGAGAGAGAAGGGAAAGGGAAAGGGAAAGAGAAGATAAAAGGAAAGAAAGAAGAGGAAGATGAAGAAAAGAGGGAAACGGGTGCGAAGGGCTCTTGCCTCCTCCCCCCGCCAAAAAATAAATAAGAGAGAGAGAAGGGAAAGGGAAAGGGAAAGAGAAGATAAAATGAAAGAAAGAAGAGGAAGAATAAGAAAAGAGGGAACCCCCAGCCAAAAAAATGAATAAGAGAGAAGGGAGTGATACTGTTATCCACATTATATATTAAAACAACAGAATAAAACAGAGAATGAAAGAATTAGTTCTCGACTGATTGCCATTACAATAAAACAAAATAAAGCATGGAGGTGGGAAAGTATTAAATAAAACGGACTGCTTTTGACTACAGAGAGTGGTTTCATTCGTTATCAGAATGTTGGTCGGGGGGGGGGGGGGGGGGGGTCTGCTCGCTATTCACAAGGACCGCTATTTAGTATAGGAGAAGAGGGTCACTATAAGGACCTTTATTCAGAATACCAATGAGGGTCTCTGTTCATTATAGGAGCAGAGGGTCGCTATTCATAATATGGAATAAGGGTCGCTCTATTCATAAAACATTAGCTTAAGCAATGGAAAAAATGTTGATTGCAAAGGGAAATGTTGGATTGAAAACACCCCCACGGCTATGGCGTAGCTGAGGGGAGGGGCGACACAAGACCCTGAATAATTGTCTTTGTATATTTTACCTTCTAGCTTTGATAATTTTATAGAGACATCCCCCGCTTGACTTGGAGATGCGAAGGCCGAGGTTTCGAATCGCGACATGGCACTAATATCCTTTGGCAAGATGTTAACCTGCACTTGCTACTCTCCACCCAGGTGTTAAATAGGTACCAGGTGAGATGCGACCGTCATTGTTGGTCAAACAGTTTTTGAGCGTCATGTACATGTAACGCCTGGCTGAAATGCTCCCCAGGGAGCGGAGATTGTGCACACATTGTGTGCAGGCAAGCACTGAATCCAATGACCGGGGTAATAGTATATTTGTAAAGCGCTTAGCGACATTTGTATTAAGCGCTATATAAAAATTGAATATTATTATTATTATCTTAATTTGTCATCCTTGTGCCCACACCCTGCCCCCGATTGATTTTCTGATGTTGGGGGGGGGGAGCCCTTCGCCCCCGTTTCCCTCTTTTCTTCTTCTTTCTCTTCTTTCTTTCCTTTTATCTTCTCTTTTCCTTTTATCTTCTCTTTCCCTTTCCCTTCTCTCTCTCTCTCTCTTATTTATTTTTTGGCGGGGGGGGGGGGGGGAGGAGGCAAAAGCCCTTTTCGCCCCCGTTTCCCTCTTTTCTTCTTCTTCCTCTTCTCTCTTTCCTTTTAAATGCTCTTTCCCGTTCACTTCTCTCTCTCTCTCTCTCTCTTATTTATTTTTTTGCGGGGGGGAGGGGGGAGGCAAGAGCCCTTCGCACCGTTTTCCTCTTTTCTTCTTCTTCCTCTTCTCTCTTTCCTTTTATCTTCTCTTTCCCTTTCCCTTTCTCTTCTCTTTCCCTTTCCCTTCTCTCTCTCTCTCTTATTTATTTTTTTGGCGGGGGGGGGGGGAGGCAAGAGCCATTCGCACCCGTCTTCCTCTTTTATTGCAATGACGACCTTCGTCATTTGCCTTGTTTTCGTTCACATTATTAATATTCTTAGTTCTTCTTATCGTCCAAAAATCCCATTCGTTTTGCACGTAGTGATTGTTATTCCTAGTTAGGTACTTTCCTCAAGTCCTTTTCCTTTCAAATTTCATAGGCATAATCTCTAACATCTCATCAAGGTCACTACATTCTTCGATTTTCGGAATCACTCATGCATAACCGTCCAGGCGCCATTTTGTCCGTTTCTGGTCCATTTTAAGGCCTTTCTTTCTTCCTTCCTAGCTCCACTATCCTAGATCCTACAAATTTCTAACAAATTCCTCTAGATAGTCTGAGAGATGTTCTTTCATCTGCCACGTATGACTTGACCTTCAAAATGCCATCTTCGTACTCAAAATTCAAATCTGAAACCGATTCCGTCAAAAATCTCTCAAATTCTTGAAAAATTGACCCCTAAATAATCTAAAACTGCCAAAACTTTCTCATATAAATTCCGTTTTGTATTTAAATCTCACACTATTTTTATCTCATAATTGCACATAGCCATGGCAAATTTCAAGCTCCAATGGCTTTGCAAAACATAAATAGCGCCCTCTAAAGTTCTGGGAATTGGCTGTGGCCGTATCTCCATTATGGCTTGGCAAACCCATACCCTTTTTTGGATTTAGATACTTGAAGATATGCCCTTTCCAGCCATATACAAAATTATATACCCTAACACTGACCGTCTTTCAGAAAAATGCCCTCCAAATTCGCCATTTTCAAGAAAATTCCAAAATAACTGCAACTTGCTCTAAAACGGCGATCTTTATACCTACATCAATGAAACTTGGCAGACATATGTATCCATATACGTGAAAACTGTTTGCCAAGTTTGGTAAAATTCAAATATGACAGCGCAAAGTTATCGCCGAAAATGATGAATTTACTATGCATTACGTAATAGCGCTTTCAATGCGTGCAATACATTGCGCGAAGATAACAATGGTGTCAAACTGACCGCAATGAAGTGCCCTTTCTAATGATACCAAATAGAGTATATGTTCACACAGAAAATTGTGAATAAATCGCATTTGAACAAAGGTCACTACACAAATTCCGCCGAGTTTCCGCCCGAATCTAACACGTATCGGCTATGACGTCATTTTTTCAGACTGCTTTTCGCCCCCTAAACGTCCTTCTTTTTCCTTGAAAATTTGCAGTGACATGCCCAGTTCCAATACGCAGGGCACCTCATGGCCGGATTTTTGAAATTGGTCAATGGGGCCATTTAAGACGCCATTTTGTCCTATAAATCTATTTTACATCACGTCTTTCGATAGGATTATCATAGAAAAAAAGAGGGTGGTTAACAAAAACAATCATAAAACTCTCTTTCTAATGATACCAAATACGGCCCATAAAGAGACATAAAGAGAGAGAGAAAAAGCAATTTAACTCCGGTCATAATACAGATCCTGTACGTTTTCCGCTCATGCATTACACGCATTGTCTATGGGGGCATATCGGGTCCACGCTTTTGACCCCCAGAACGATCTTGATTGCAATGACGAACATGCACCAAATCCCCTTGGTTTTTGCACGCAGTGCTTGCGAGCCCTTTCTACGTCCTTTCCCATATCCCATATCCCTTCGCCCCCGTTTCCCCTTTTTTTTCTTCTTCCTCTTCTTTCTTTCCTTTTATATTTTCTTTCCCTTTCCCTTCTCTCTCTCTCTCTCTTATGTATTTTGGGGCGGGGGGAGGGGGGGAGGGGGGGAGGAGGTAAGAGCCCTTCGCCCCCATCCGTTTCCCTCTTTTCTTCTTCTTCCTCTTCTTTCTTTCCTTTTATATTCTCTTTCCCTTTCCCTTCTCTCTCTCTCTCTCTTATTTATTTTTTTGGCGGGGGGGGAGGCAAGAGCCATTTGCCCCCATTTCCCTCTTTTATTCTTATTCTTCTTCCTCTTCTTTCTTCTCTCTTATATTCTCTTTCTTTTCCCTTCTCTCTCTCTCTCTCTCTCTCTTATGTATTTTTGGGTGGGGGGAGGAGGCAAGAGCCCTTCGCCCCCACCCGTTTCCCTCTTTTCTTCTTCTTCCTCTTCTTTCTTCCTTTTATATTTTCTTTCCCTTTCCCTTTCCCTTCTCTCTCTCTCTTATTTATTTTTTGGCGGGGGGGGGAGGCAAGAGCCTCCTTCGCACCCGTTTTTTTCTTCTTACTCTTCCTCTTTCTTTCCTTTTAAATTCTCTTTCCCGTTCCCTTCTCTCTCTCTCTTATTTATTTTTTTGCGGGGGGTGGGGGGGGGGAGAGGGCTGAAGGCAAGAGCCTTTCGCCCCCACCCGTTTCCCTCTTTTCTTCTTCTTCCTCTTCCTCTTCTTTCTTTCCTCTTATATTCTCTTTCCCTTTTCCTTCTCTCTCTCTCTCTCTCTCTCTCTCTTATTTAATTTTTGGCGGGGGGGGGGAGGAGGCAAGAGCCCTTCGCCCCCGTTTCCCCTTTTTTTCTTCTTCCTCTTCTTTCTCTCCTTTTATATTTTCTTTCCCTTTCCCTTCTCTCTCTCTCTCTCTCTCTCTTATGTATTTTTGGGCGGGGGGAGGGGGGAGGAGGTAAGAGCCCTTCGCCCCCACCCGTTTCCCTCTTTTCTTCTTCTTCCTCTTCTCTCTTTCCTTTTAAATGCTCTTTCCCTTTCCCTTCTCTCTCTCTCACTCTCTCACATTTATTTTTTGGCGGGGGGGGGAGCCAAGAGCCCTTTGCCCCCGTTTCCCTCTTTTCTTCTTCTTCCTCTTTGGTCTTTCCTTTTATATTCTCTTCCGCCTTTTCCTTTTTTCCTTTTCTCTGTCTCCCCGATCAACATAGTAATGACGAATAAGACCACTCTGTAATAAAAACTATTCCATTATATTTAATACATTTTCGATATACTTAAATTGGCACGATTATCTTCTGTCCCAGATCCTCATTACGGTAGATAACTTCACACAGGCGCGCGCCCGCACGCAATCCACCATCAATACAGTATGCATTTGTATTGTGCTGCGGTTTGGCGTGAAACCTGTGAAAAAGCCTGAAAAAGTGCATACTAAAATCAATGTTTTTCCGAAAAATACTCCCCCAAATACAACAAAATTGACACGAAACAGGTAAAAAACATAACGCCTTTTAAATCATTATCTTTATTTGGACATTTGATTATTTATTTACCGAAATTTGGTCTGTTGTAGTAGGCTATATTTTGGATACCTTACTGAATTCATCATGAATTGATAAATTAACAAATAAATTAATTAATAATAAGAGCTTCAACACTCACACTGGTCTACATTAAATTTACAAACAAATATTAAAGTTTCTAACTAAATAGTAAATGAATGAATTAATTCATAAATAAATAAATGAAAGAATAAATAAAAAGATGAATAGATCAGGGCCTAGAATCTAGATGAAAAGGTAGACTAAATAAATAAAACACAATTAGGCTATACTAAATTAAAATATTAAATACATACCATGTCTTCTTTTCCCGGAGAGCGCTGTACCAAGATAGGAACTTTTCTATATTCCGAAAATTTGATCTCTTTCCTGGACACAGGATTGACCTCCACAATCGTGTAAGGCACACCAAAATAATCCAGATATGCTCGCACTTTACAGCAAAATGGACAAACTTGATATTGGTAGAGAGTTAAGTTAAGTTTTGCGGCATCTTCAGCGGACAAAGCACGGGGTACGCGATTTAATAGTTGAGGTTCATCGGTGCATTTCTCTCCATCCCACACCTGCCCCCGCTGCTTGGCGATGGGCGATAGCAGTCCCCAAGTCTGCCCAGACTCTGGCGTGCTCATCCAGCGCTGGCCGATGTAAGCCCCACATATCAGTCCCGAAACTGCACTCAGAGATTTCACAATATTGCGTCTATTATTTGCATTAAAAGTAAAAAATTTCTGTTGTGAAAAGTATCTGGCATTGTTGAAGCCATTTTCAGTCAATTTGATGGCATTCTGAGGGAAAGATCGCCCTAAAACATGAGCGTATCGAGCAGTTGCATAACGCATGGGGGCTGCCATATTGAATAATATCAAATGCCGAGTTGAAGATACAGAGATAAAAGCTTATATTATAGGATTTGCTTTCAAGTTAAGGTTTTTCATCCCGCTCAAAATTCTCTGTCATTCTTTAAAATATTTATTTAAGATTTATATTTAAAAACATCATTATTACTTCATGGACAAAGCAAAATATTGTTATCCAATGGCGAAAGAGTTTCACTGTAGACTACGGGTACCCCAACGAACTCGATAGGGTACCCGTACCACTGAGCCAACTTTGGCTATCATTTCAGGAAATGGGTAGCGTCTTGGTGGTAAGCGGTCGCGGGGTAGGGGGAACTTTCACCCCCTCCCTACCTTACGCCGACATTTCTGTTTCTTAGTTATTAACACCAGAAGATAGGGGAGATGGTGCACAAGAACCCCATATATGTCCAGCTCTGGAATACTATACTCAAAATCTTTCAGATTGGTTTCAAGTTCGGGATAATTTCAGATATTTCAGGAAATGGGTAGCGTCTTGGTGGTTAGCGGTCGCGGGGTAGGGGGAACTTTCACCCCCTCCCTATACCTTTCGCCGACATTTCTGTTTCTTAGTTATTAACACCAGGCGATAGGGAAGATGGTGCAAAAGAACCCCATATATATTCGATTCCCAGCTACGCCTTTCTACCTCGCGTTTTTTTTTCATCTCTTTTTTTGTTTAGGGGACATCCCCTCCTCCTCAACAAAGGAATACAAGTAGTTTATCAGCATATTTTTGAAAGTCATTAACATCAGAAAGTGTTAACATCTTGAACCGAACAAGTTAATATCAGTGAAACACAGTGGTCATGTGGATAAGACATTGCTTCACAATGCAGATGTTCTCGGTTCGATTCCCGGCTATACCTTTCTACCTCGTTTTTTTCAATCATTTTTTTCTTCATATTGATTTGTCCTTTTCTTTTTTGTTTGTTTAGGGGACACCCCCTCTTCCTCAACAAAGGAGTACAAGTAGTTTATCAGCATATTTTTTAAAGTCTTTAACATCAGAAAGTGTGAACATCTTGAACCGAACAAGTTAATATCAGTGAAGCACAGTGGTCATGTGGATAAGACATCGCTTCACAACGCAGATGTACTCGGTTCGATTCCCAGCTACGCCTTTCTACCTCGCGTTTTTATTTTTCATCTCTTTTTTTTTGTTTAGGGGACACCCCCTCCTCCTCAACAAAGGAGTACAAGTAATTTATCACCATATGTTTTAAAGTCATTAACATCAGAAAGTGTTTACGTCTTGAACCGAACAAGTTAATATCAGTGAAGCAGAGTGGTCATGTGGATAAGACATTGCTTCACAATGAAGATGTTCTCGGTTCGATTCCCAGCTACGCCTTTCTACCTCGCGTTTTTTTTTTCATCTCTCTTTTTTGTTTAGGGGACACCCCATCCTCCTCAATTTAAAAAAAAAATAATGATTGAAACAATTTAACATTATTTATTTGACCAATCGAAAAACATATCTTAATACATACACACAACTTTAGGGAAGTGGAGAGGAGAGAGAGAGAGAAGGATACATGAAATCTGCTGGGGAAAAAAAAAAAGCAATTAAAACTTGCTATATCATTACTCGAAAGCATGTCACCCCCCAATGATTATAGTAGTTAAAAGTCATGCGCTATATAAATAATCTCATGAACTAACTCATATAAACTAATAAAGCCCACAAGTGTTTTGCTTATGCAGTTGTCTTTCTCCTAATAAATAAATAAACCCTCTAAACATACAGGTACACGACGCCCCCTTGTCTATGCCAGAGTGACCTAGGTTGAGTTTATCAACCGAGAAGCGTACGGCGTAACATAACTCGCTGGGCTGGTAAGAAGGCATCATAGAAAGGACAGGGCCAGCGTGAGTTGGAACTGTGTGCGGATCGTGGTTTAATTTGAAATAATTTTTTTTTTGTTTTGTTTTTTTGTAGACTATGACTAATATTATATTAAAATGAGATTGGAAAAAGAAAGAAAGAAATAATAATTTTACCAAGACATTAAAAGAAAGAGATGCGATGAAATTGGCAACAATAGTCAAATTTGACTAATAGCCATTATAATACCAAACGAACAACAACAACAACAACAACAACAACAACAAAGGAGTACAAGTAGTTTATCAGCATATTTTTTAAAGTCATTAACATCAGAAAGTGTTAACATCTTAAACCGAACAAGTTAATATCAGTGAAGCACAGTGGTCATGTGGATAAGACATTGCTTCACAATGCAGATGTTCTCGGTTCGATTCCCAGCTACGCCTTTCTACCTCGCGTTTTTTTTTTCATCTCTCTTTTTTGTTTAGGGGACACCCCATCCTCCTCAACAAAGGAGTACAAGTAGTTTATCAGCATATTTTTTAAAGTCATTAACATCAGAAAGTGTTAACATCTTGAACCGAACAAGTTAATATCAGTGAAGCACAGTGGTCATGTGGATAAGACATTGCTTCACAATGCAGATGTTCTCGGTTCGATTCCCAGCTACGCCTTTCTACCTCGCGTTTTTTTTTTCTTTTTCATCTCTCTTTTTTGTTTAGGGGACACCCCCTCCTCCTAAACAAAGGAGTACAAGTAGTTTATCAGCATATTTTTTAAAGTCATTAACATCAGAAAGTGTTAACATTTTGAACCGAACAAGTTAATATCAGTGAAGCACAGTGGTCATGTGGATAAGACATTGCTTCACAATGCAGATGTTCTCGGTTCGATTCCCGGCTATACCTTTCTACCTTGTTTTTTCAATCATTTTTTTCTTCATATTGATTTGTCGTTTTCTTTTTTGTTTGTTTACGGGACACCCCCTCTTCCTCAACAAAGGAGTACAAGAAGTTTATCAGCACATTTTTTTAGAGTCATTAACAAAAGAAAGTGTTAACATCTTGGACCGAATAAGATAATATCAGTGAAGCACAGTGGTCATTTGGATAAGACATCGCTTCACAATGCAAATGTACTCGGTTCGATTCCCAGCTATGCCTTCCTACCTCGTTTTTTCAATCATTTTTTTCTTCATATTGATTTGTCCTTTTCTTTTTTTGTTTAGGGGACACCCCCTCTTCCTCAACAAAGGAGTACAAGTAGTTTATCAGCACATTTTTTTAAAGTCATTAACATCAGAAAGTGTTAACATCTTGAAGCTGAAAAGCAGCAAACCGGTTGCCAGGAAACGGCGTGTGTGGAGCTCCGAAGCCATAGAGGAACTGCGTGCTAGCTTCGATTGCACAGATTGGGACACCTTCGTAGATTCAGCTGAGTCGATAGACGAAGCAGCTACAGTTATATCCGAGTACGTCAACTTCTGCGTTGAATCTTCGATTCCTCTTAAAGATGTAAAGTCATATCCAAACAACAAGCCATGGATTACTCAGGAACTGAAGGTGTTATTGAAACGGAAACGCGAAGCTTTTCTTTCAGGAGAGAAGTCATGTGTTAAGGAGATACAGAAAGAAATCAACCGGCAAGTCGCGAAAGCTAAAGTGCTGTATAAAAGAAAACTGGAAAGGAACTTTAATGAAAACAACCCACGAGCTGCATGGTAGCAAATGCAAACAATGACCGGTTATATTAGGACTCTAATAGGAGAGTAATGGATTGTAAACAGGATTTTGTTGATAGTCTTAGTGAATTCTATGCCCGATTCGATGTTCATGACTTTTCTACAGAGAATGATGTAATAATAGATAGGCTGTCAAATATTGTAATTGATTCAAATGAGGTAATTGTCTTTAGTGAACATGAAGTTCGAAATGTATTTGCGAAGACAAATGTAAACAAAGCATCTGGTCCAGACCACATTTCTAATAAGGTTTTGAACATGTGTAGTCAACAACTTGCCTATGTTTTTACACGTATTTTCCAATTGATCATGAATGCTGGTAGGATCCCTCGTCTTTGGAAATCCTCGATTATTATTCCAGTTCCTAAGATGAAAAACCCTAGTGAACTGAATCAGTATAGACCAGTAGCCCTTACATGCAATCCTATGAAATGTTTTGAACGGTTATTGTTAAAACACCTTAGAAACCATCAGGTTAATATTTTCGACAAGACTCAATTTGCATATCAGAACAATAGAGGTGTAGAAGACGCAGTACTTGTTTTTTTACAGGGTCTGTATCAACATTTGGATACTCCTAGGTCTTACGTTAGGTCTGTGTTCATAGATTTCTCAAGTGCCTTTAATACGATTGTTCCTTACATACTGATAGATAAGCTACTTAATATGAATGTCAAACCATGTCTAGTTAGGATTATCCATAATTTCCTTGTAGACAGACCACAATGGGTTAAGTGTAATAATCTGAACTCTATCATCAAATGTCTGAATCTAGGTGCTCCTCAAGGCTGTGTAATTCCACCAATTCTCTTCTCGCTCTATATTAGTGACTATACCATCACCAATAATAATTGTTCAATAATTAAGTACGCAGACGACACTGTGATAACTGGTTTCCTTCAAGGAGATTCCAGCCCATATGTTAGAGAAGTTGATCAATTTGTAAACTGGTGCGATCGGCACCATCTAGTTCTTAACGTAAAAAAGACCAAGGAAATGGTATTTGACTTTCGTCGTTCCTCTCAGCCTCTTGACTCGTTGGTTATCCATGATCAAAGCATTGAGCGAGTTTCTGAATATAAGTACTTGGGAACAACTGTTGATAATAAACTTAACTGGAATAGGAACACCCAAATCGTAGCAGGCAAGGCGAGTCAAAGGTTATACTTTCTAAGGAAACTAAAGGAATTTCATGTGGATAATAGGATTCTAGTTCTCTTCTACCAATCTCTTATACAGAGTATCCTGACATTCAATTTTTTGTGCACTTTTGGTAATCTTTCAAAACAAAATCGGAGAAAGTTAGATAGACCCAGGAAAATTGCCCAGCGGTTAATTTATTCAGATCTTCCCCCTATCAGTACTGTGTATGAAAAACGTATGTTACTTAAAGTTCACACAATAATGAATGACCCATCACATCCATTACATCATTTCTTTGG